TTTAATAGTTTTGTTGTTAAAGATGAAGCACAGATTTCTGTGCTAACTTATAAGGCTTGAATACAATGTTAATGAAATTATAGAAGTAAGTAACACTTGCAGCCAATGAAAAGGCTTTTACTTGAAAGTGAACAGTTTTTAATGCTTGCAAAGAAAAAGCTACAGCTACCCGTATTAAAATTATTTTTGACAGTTTACTCTATGAACTTCACGTGCATGCATTTATATCTTTACCAATCACGTGAAATCCTTTATAAAAATTTAATAGCTTTTTATTGTAGCGTTTAGAAATCACGTGGTTTTTAAATGTTTATACTTGAGAAAACTTTTTTTGAAACACCTCTTTCATACTAGTCATAAAAAGTGACAGCTGTAGCGTTTTAGCTTGTCAAGTTTTACTATCTTTATACTATTTCTATCTATTAAAATTCTCGTCATACAATCAAAGTAACCAATCAAAATACTTTATAAATTCATTTAGCCACTAAATAAGTTTTTTAATACTTTTTCAAGTTTTATTATATAAATATCGTTTGACTCATTACTAATTCAAATTAGCGACGCATTTTAACTTAAAATGTTTATTATATGCACTTCAGTTTATAAATTTATGAACTTGTTATGAAGCGGTTATATTTTACTCAGCTGTGCATTATATTAATTGCTGGCATTATAAATATTTTACTTTGTACAATCGTTATTATTTTATCATTAATTAAGTTTATTATTATGAGTAGGAATGGATCTTTTACTATCTCTTTTGCTCAATTATCCCGGCGACTTTTATAGTATTTATTTATTTTTTATATATCATTTTGTTTGCAGTTTTATTATTAATAAAAAATTGGTAAAAAGCAAAATTAATTAAGTTAAAAAATTATTCGTTTTTTTGAGAAATTTTATGTAAGTAAACTTTGTGCCTGCCGTATTTAACTTGCAACTGTATAAAAATAAGCATGTGAAAACAGTTGTTAAATACTAGTGCACAGTCTTTTATTGGCCCTCATTTGCATTTATTATTTTCTTTAGAAGACAGCACCATAATAATAGTAGTATTTTTAATAGTAATAATAATAATATATAATAGAAGGTTTTAATGCAAATTGTAATCCTCACTATTTATGATAAAAAAATTAATAAATTTAACGGACACTTTTTTAAATTATATCACATTTAATACATATACTAATATAATTATAATAATCTATATTGTAGTTAATATTAATAATAAAGTTATTTATTTATGTTAAATCAATACAACAATAAAAAAAAAATTTTTTATGCATCTTAAAAATTTCTTTTACAATTTTTATAAATTTTCTTTAAATTTTTGCACAATTAGCACACTCACGCCATTTTTTACTTATACTGAAATAATAACTTTATGATAAGTTTTATTATTGTAATTTAATTTTTTTTAGTTAAATACTGATAAACATTAATATATATTTTTCAAGGTTTATCATTATATTTTTATTAAATAAATATATATAAACGTTTTATTATACGATAAACTGCTTTATCGTTGTGATCATGTTATGCTTAAATTAAAAAAAAAATTATAAAAAATAATTTAACTTAGTAATAATAATATAATTATATGCTTGAAAATTAAAAAAATAGCTTAACAAACTTAATACTAGTAATTATTTATTATATTTTAAAAAAAAATAAACTTCACAAATTTAATAGTAATAAAGATTTTTATACATATTAAGAAGTTTTTTGAGTATACTTTTCGTTATTATAAGTATGTATTATTTTTTAAGGTGTTTGCGAGAAGTTAGTAAACTGTTTAAAAACGCTTGAAGATTGTTGTGATTATGCTTTTTTTATAAAGAAAACTGGGAAAACTGTTATGAAAAGTATATTAGAATTTTTATATTTGTTACTACTCGTTATAAATAGTAATTAAACGCAGGTTATCACCAATCAGTATCCAATGGAGATGGAGATGCCAATAACCACATTGACACTTCAAGTGTTTCAGTTTTGAGAGAAATAATTGGTTGCTTTGCCTTTTTTATCAATAAAATAATAATAAAATTGAAAATTCTTCTACTAAAAGAGTTAAAAAATTAATTTTTTATAATATTTGGGAATTTATATAAAATTAAACTAATAAATTGTTCTCCTATATAAAGTAAATAAAAAAAATTTAAAATTTAAAACTCATTAAAAAGTTCTATACAATTTATAAAGTTTATATTTTATAAAAAGTTTAAATTTATTTTTTATTAGATTTACATACTATTATTCTTTATTATTATTGAACTTTATTGATATTATTATTACTCATTCAGGTCGGTTTCTAATAAACTTATGCTCATTTTCTATCCATCTTGTTTCTCCTATTCGGATGCTTCTAATCAACAAGCAGGTATCATTTTATTAACTAATTTATATCCTTTGCTACTGACTGACTAATGAATTTCTTTTTTTTTTCTTACGTCTATATTAATTTGTTTTTGTTTAATTATATAAGCACTATTGACACGAAGAGTTGTAAAGTTTTTTTATGAATATATTTATAAGCTATGCCTATTGAATATGTTTTTATATACTTTTATATATTTTTATATAGATTTTACCAGAAGTTAGTTTATATCTCACGCTGACTTATAAAACTGACTGCGTCACGTTTTTGGCGGGGACGCTTAACGATCCTCTTAGCGGTGATTGGTTCTCTAACTTTCTTAACGAGTCTCAGAATGGAAGTATGAAATGTTCACTAAAATATAAAACAATTTTAGTTATAAATAATTTTTTATATAAAAAAGCTTCAAGTTTATTTGCACAAGAAACTGTGAATAGCATGCGCGCTAAATTGTTAGAAGAACTTATAAAAGTTATCCCTTTACATTATGCTGATTCGAAAGGTTCATTTTTCATTATAAATATTTATATTTGTCGTTGTACTTTTTTTACGAATATAGAAAATATTCCGATTGTGAAGAAGTCTGTAATTATTCGACTCTACACAGCGTTATTGGGACTTTCTGGTTTTTCATAATCTTTTTGTCATTATGAATTTAACTTTTTATATTGAATAAAAGAGTTAAAAGCGACTAGAGAAGAACTAATGAAATGCGTGGATTTAATTATTTCAGTCAATGAATGCAAAGATTTAAGAACAAAAGCGGGAATACACTTCGTCCGCTTATGGTTGGTTAAAATATTTTTGTTTTTTTTTAGTGAATTTTATTTAATTTTTTTAATATTTTCTTAAAAACTATACTAGTTTAGAAATAGTAAAGTTGTTAGTTTCTTTACATATTGATTGGTTACTATAAATATTTTTATAAATTTATTGGTTAGCAGAGCATTCCTTTATTTTATAATAATTATAAAAAAATGAAATATTAATTAAAATTAAAAAACTGTAGACAAAAATTATTAAATTGTTTATTATTTATGCGCTATGACAAATGAATAAGTATACTATTTATATTAATATTAATTGGTTTAATTTGAGTAAAATTAACGATATTTGCTGCTCACATGGCTTTTCTGCAACTCTTTTCTATAAAAAAAAGAAAATTGCCGTTGGTAAAGTGTTGAATATTAAGCATATTTGCCGGTTCGTTAAGTTTAAATTCAGATATTTTTTTACTTTTTTATTTTTATAACAGCAGAAATTATGATAAGCTATATTGTCCAATATGAGAAAATAAATTACTAGCGGTTACTTATAAACTAATCAAATTAAAAAAATGATTATCAAAAACTAACTACAATTATTATAAAGAAACTATTTTTTACTCAACTTTAATATTTAAAAGTTATAATATATAAAGATATATTTTTTTATGAATGCCAAACCTTTAATTTTTTAAGAAAATATGTATTTTTATTACTGCCATGTAAGTTTTTAGTAGTTTATTTTCTTTTAATTATTTATTTTATAAATTCTTTTTAATAGTAGACACAATTGCTTTTTATATATGTTTTCCCAGTAAATATTTATTTTTTATCTGAATTTTTTTAATTAATACTTATTGTTACAAGTATTCTATAATAAGAATAAGAATACTTATAATAACTGTGAATATAACCTCTAATAAAGTTTTTAAAAATAAATTGATACTATATGCGAATTTTTTATTTTAAACAGTTACTATTGGTTGAAAATTTTACTATTCTCCGCTTAACCCATGCAGTCTCTGCTTTATTTTAACCTGCGCCGACTGGGCGGAAATACCTGAGAACTTTCGCGTGTTTGATTGGATAAAACTCATTTTATCAAGGGCTAATGGGGATAAAGGCTCGTTATCTATCATAAAAATTTTATTTATTAGTTTTTAAAAGGTTTTTTATTTGTCAGTTACTATTAATAATAATTAAATAATAATGTTTAATAATTTTAGTAATAAAATATTGTTATTGGAAATTTTATATATTATAATAACTTATTTCTTTATATATGTATTTTTTTTCTCGTTATAGTAAATTTATGTTATTAAAGGTAATTATGAACAATAGTTATATTTATTATTAATTGTTTTTTTGCCTAGATAAATTATGATTTATTTTGTTCATTAGTTTTTATGCAATTATTTATTTTCCCAACAAATATAAAGTAAAGGCAGTTCCACCTGGTAAACGGGTGGACAGGAGCTGCTCTTGAAGAATTTCCTTATTCTAATAAACAAAAAATATACAATACCTTTTAAAATTTTGATAATTAAATTATTATAAAGTATTTACTTTAGTAACAATGAAATATTTAATGTAGTAAACTTTGTTTTGTGTAAACCTTTTTTAAGTGCAGTTACAGAGAAACTATAAGCTCTTCAGTAAAATAGCTTAGAAAGTATTTGTTAAATAAAAATAATATGTAATGAGAACACACAAAAGTGAAGACAATAATAACTTAATACATTAATTGTAATATTAAAAATAATAAATAAATAGATATTTTCTTATTATTTAACAATTTTTATTTATATATTTTTACTTTTAATATATTTCAATACACCCTTATTATAAAAAAGTTTTATTATTTTTTTTAGATAACCTTTTTATTGTGAATATATTAAAAAAAAGTAACTATTGAAAGCGTATTAAAATATTTTCATTAGGTTTATATAGTGACATATAAAAGTATGTTAATATTAAGGATTTATAAACTTTTTATATTTTTTATGTTTATATATTTTATATAGAAAGTGATGATTTTTGCTTTAAGTTTTATTTATTTTTATATTTATTTTGTTAAAGTTTTTTTTTATGTTATATTATTGTTTTACTTAAAGAAACTGTAGTTATTATTAACGCACTTATTTTTATTATATTTTTAAGTTAAGTTTTACATCTTTTATTAAATTGCCTTTTATATATATTTTCCTGATTACTTTATTATAGAAAATCTATATCAACAATTTTTTAGATTTATTTATTTAATATCTTTATTTTATGATACATATAAAAAGTAATTTTTTCTGTAATTTTTTTATCTCATTTGTATTTGTGTTTATTTAAGTTTCTTCTTAATATTATTTATATTTTGTCAGGGTTTTATAGTACAGTCCAGCAAGAATCTTATTCTGAAATGCTTCTTCTAATTGGTATCCATTTTTATACGTCGGTATGATAAATGAACTTCTTTATTCTATCTTTTTTTTTGTCACTTAATATTATGTAATTATTTTTTTTTAATTTATTAAATATTTTAAATATACAAAAACTTTTTCTACTTTTATAATTTTTTATAAACATTTATTTGTTTTTTTTTAAATTTTAGTGACTAATTTTTTATATGCTTTTTAATAAGTGATTTATTATTTATAATTATTTTTTAAAAAAGAATTATAAAATAATTTTTAAGCTTTATTTTTTAATATATTTATTTATTTTATTATATTTTTGTTTGTTGTAAATTATTATTGTATAGATATTCTTAATATAAAAAACTTTATAATGTATCTCATACTTTTATTATTTATTTAATATATTTTTATAGTTTTTAGAAAAATTATTAGTTTGAATTACCAATACTTAAAGCAATATTTTTTTTAAATTTATTTTTATTTTATTATTTATTTTATTTTTTTGTTTTTATTATTATTTTTTATTTAATTAATTTTTATTATTTTATATTAAAAAATAATTGTTTTTTTATATTTTCATTAAAATTTATTTATATATTTATATATTTAATGTATTTTTATTTTATATGGAAAAATTATTTTTTTATTATCGTTAAACCATAATAACTTTTAATTTTTATTTAAATTTTTTTATAGTTATTCATTATAATATATTTTTATTATGCAAAGAAAAATTAGTTTTCTGATATTATTAATACATAACAACTTTTTATTTTTCGCCAAAATGTTTTATATTTTCATTTTTATAAAAAATTATCTTTTTAAAATATGATCTAAACTTTTTTTTATTAAATTTTCTTTCTTCTATTATTTTTTAAATATATTTTTCATTTTATATATAAAAATTATTATTTAATACTATTTTTATCTTATTTTTGTGTTTTACTAAATATAGAAAAATTACTGTATGTTATTATTAACTTAGAGAACTTTTTTTATTTTTTAAGTTTATTATATATCTACTATTAATTCTACTTGTATTATTTATTATATTAGTTATTATTTATCTTTTTAGTTTTTATAATTATTTTTATTTTAATTATTTTATTTATTAACGTTTAGTATTAACAATAAATATTTATATTTTTAAAAGTATTTTTCATTATATTAGAAGAACTTGATAAAATTTTATTTTTTCCTGTTATTATTTTTTTAAATATGCGCTTTTTTTATATCTTTTTTTTTAGTTATTATTATTATTAAACTTTATTCCTGCTTACATTAAAAAATGATTTTTTTATTATTTATTAATGTTTTATTTAAATTTTGTTAAATTTATATTTTATTAATATCATAACTTTTTTTGAGTAATTTGTTTTTAACATTTTTCCTCTTTTTATTTTTTTTATTAATAAATTTTTTTATCTCACTTGTTTATATTTTTGATTTACGTTTATATTTTAATTTATTCCTTTATTATTATTTATTTTTTTTAACTTTTCATATCAACTTTTTTATTTTATTATAATTATAGTATATTTTAATGTTAATTTTTCATTCGAGTATTAATTTTTTATCAAAACTTTTAGTGCTAAAAGTATTGTATTTTTATGTTTTTTATTTGCTATTTTTATGTTAATACAAATTTGTTTTAAGAACACGTGCAAGGTTAGGTAAGCACATGTATTTTTTAGGTGTCACTTGACCCCCAATATGTATAATAACACTAATGAAAATCTAGCTAAAAAGGTAGAGTTTGATTATTTTGTACCAGGTCTAAATATATATTGGCGGCAGTCAGGTTGCATCGCGTAACTTATATATTTTGTGTTAATATACAATGGAAATATAACACACATGTTTTTTTTTTGCTATTTTCATATTTTATAATGAATAATTTTGAAAACCAAATTTCAGAATTGGTTTGGTTAAGTGCTAAAAAAATTAAAAAGGTTCACAAAAAGTTATGAAACAAGAAAAGTTGTTTCACTATTTTTTTTATATTTTTATGTTTATATTAGCGGCTTTCTGTTCTCGCCCAGTTAGTGCGCTCTACTATTGGGTTTAACGTTCGTATCAGCAGCGACGGCCTTAAGAAAATTGGCGAATTGTTTGCCGTTCATGTTTTTTCCGAGCTTGTTATTGGTCAATACGCTGGTTCATTATTTTTTATAACCGCTTTTTTCCTTCATATATTATTAAAGTTTTCCTTTACTTATAATTTTTATATTTTTACCTTATATATATTATTAAGACTTTTATTATGAAAGTATTTGTTGTGCCCTATTTTACTTTTTATAGTGTCTGTGCCTTGCACCAGTTGCCTCAACGACACTATGGAGGGCTACCTTCCGGTGCACTGCGTTTATCAACTTCTTAAGGACGGCGTGTTTACTAAGCATGCGATACCCGTGGCCATGTGGATCTTCGAGCAAGTATTTTTATAGAATTTCTGAGTGTTATAACGTTTTCTATTGGTCCAATTTTCCTTCACAGTGTATATAATATAGTTTTCTATTATTCTAATCATCTTTAAGATTATGTTGTGATTTATTTTTCTATATTTTTGCCTTTTGATTCTTCATTACTGTTGAAAGTTTATAAAACTAAAATTATAAATTTTTTAAAAAATCAAAATCGACAATTTCGCTATTATAGCTTCAGCAGTGCCACGTTCCTTGTCACGCAGTTTTTTGCGAGCTTCTGGAGGCCTTTGCTTCAAGTGTTGCCTGCGAAACTAACTCGAGAGTTTGTGCGTTTTTTCATTAAATATTATGTTCATTTTCACATTTCTATCATTGGTGGATCCTTGTACTTCAAATAAATTTTTTAATTGGTTATTGAAATTCACTTGGCTTCATATCCAAATTATTCTAATTTTATCCTACTTCTCTTTATAACTATTAGTGGTGGACACTATTACCACGGAGCAAATAAATTCAATATTTTTTAAGTACTTCATAATTTTTTTCTTTTTTTATTGGCCCCTACGTTTTTAATTTTAATTGCGTATAGCAATAAAAATGAGCCACTCACCCCTCAGATTTTGCTTCTTTTTTATATGCTAAAATTCAATACCCAAGTTTTAAGTAATAAGAAAAAAGGCAGGAATTTTAATGAAGCCATTCAACCATACTCTCGCGTCTTTTATTTTTTTTTTTTAATTTTTCTGAATTGTTCTGAATTATTATTATTCAGGAACTTTTGAGTCGTCTTCCGGTTCGTAAAATCATGAACCACTTGCAGAGAAACCAATCAGATTATACAGCTTTGTATTCCTCACTTTTCTCATTGGTCATTTCTTTTTTTCCCCACCTGCTGAATGTCAATGATTTGTTGTTTGGCGAGGAGTGGGAATTTTTTAATGAGGTGATAAAAATAATAAAGAAATATGAAAAACATGAAATAGTAAAAAAACTAGAGAAGACTTTAGTAAATATAAAGTTTTATAATCGTTTAAAAACTTATAGAAAACTTTACATTAAAGTCAATAAAAGTTTGTATGTTTATGTTAAAAATAACATGAAAAAAAAATTTATAATGAATGAAAATCTGTAATAAAAATAATTCTAAAATTATATGAACCAAATAAGGTTAATTATATATTTTGCTAGTGTGACTTGGAGGGCAATAACTTTCCCGAAAATACTCTAATGAACAATTTTATTGAGGATTTTAAAATCATTAAAATTCCTGAATCATTAGAATTTTTGCAATTTGGTATTCCTATTTTATTAAAATATTTGTTATTAATTTTTAAGAAAAAACACTCATAAAAGATCAGTCTTTTGTAAAGAAAACTTTTCAAAATACCAATAGGAATCCGGCTAAAACTATTATACTTTTAAAATATATTAATAAATTAAGAGACCACGAGCTATTGGTGCAATTTAAAGGTAAGCAGTGAATCGGAATGTATTCTTTATTTAAATTATTTAGAAATAATGGTGTTGAGAATAATAAGAAAATTGCTAAAATTTTAGCGAACTTTTTATAATTTTTTTATTTTATTGTTTAACAAATTTATCTTTTTTCAAATTATGTTCATTATAATATTTTAAGTAAACCTTGTTTGTCATATTTTTACTTGCATTGAGCATTTTTCAGGACATTTTATTAGCCATATTACATTAGAATTATCCAATAAAATTAATAAAATTAGGAAAATATTTTAAGGTGGTTATTTTTGTTTTTATTTTCATTTGGAACCGTTTATAGCTATGAAATAATTTTTGTTTTAGTTATTCCTTTTTTTGTTGGTTATTACTTTAATATTTGGCTAAATTTTAGTGATTTACTAATGCCGCAACTGGTTACCGTCAATAAAACCCACACTTTATTGGACAGATTACTTGGCTACATTAATATTATTAGTGCTGTAAGAACTTCAAAAGCTATTTGTTGGGGTGTTCATTTTTTAAAAATAGTGATTTAATCTTATAACTCATAAGCTTTAATGTAATTACTAGGGAGTCAATTTTTTAAAAATTTTAACTGAAAATTTCATTAAGCACTTATTGGCGGGTATTGTGAAAATTTTTAGTGGTTCCCCACACTTTCTTCTTGTAATAAAGATTATCTTACTGCCACTCTATTGGTTGATTATAATTAAACAATTTTTATGACTTACTTTTAATAATTTAATAATGCTTTTAAAAATCAACATTTTGTAAAATTCCCTAGTAATATTCAGTGTTACTTTACCAGTGAATGATTTATAAATATTTTATTATAAATATTTTATTAATGATTAATTTGTCTTAAAAAAAGTTGTGAATTAGTGGTACAACTTTTCAATAAAGATTTTATTTATAAAATATAAAAATTTTGGGACAAAAACTGGAAATAAATTTCTTTAAGATTATTAAAAGTTACTCAACGGGTCATCTAATTTTAAAGAGTTTTAAAAGATTGTCATCGGTTTATAATAAATATTGGATAACTAAATTTTTTATGTCATGCAACGGACTTAGACGATATAATATTATTGCTAATATCTTTTTTTATTATATTATTTTTCCTTTTTTTTTGGTTCACTATTTTTATCATTTTATATTATTTATTAACTTAACCTAAAAAGTATAGTATTTATCAGAAAAAGAAAACTTTAGTAATATATATGTAATATCATTACGTACGTATACAGAGCCTCTTCTTCTCTATTTACTTCCTTGCATTATGAAAAATAAAAGTTTTATTAAACTTTCTCGATTATTGAAAACTTTATGGGAGAGAATAAATATGATACTTTCTCACGAGTTATGGGTCGATACAGTAAATGCTTTTAGAAAAGTATTATTATTATGATTATTATTACTATTTGTATATTGAGTTCTAGTTTTTTATTATTAGTAGTTTTACCTCAATTTAATATTATTGTGATAATTATTTTATAAGAAAATTGGGAGAGTGGAGAATTATTATTACTGTAATATCTTTTTGTATACAAAAATAAAAAGAAAGTTTTGGGTTAAACATTATAATCATTACTTGATTATTATTTATACAAAATTTATTCAATATTTATTATAGTGTAAAAAAAGGCTTCACGGACCTCTCGAGACATTTACGCATGACTCTCTGACACGTGACCCTGTTCTTATTACACGTGTTCCAAAGGCCGTTTATCGGGATCCTTTTCTTCTGGATATTCTGCTGCGGATATTGAATGCCTATTTGATAGCATCATCCAATTTACATGTTTACCTGTTAAGTTTTGAAACAAACGGTACCTTTTAATTTTTTTTCTAAACTTTTTACTAATTATTATAATAAATAGCAAACTCTGAATTGCACGCCAATGCGTCTGTCTCCATTCGTTATCTGTGCGAATCTAGCATAGTTCAACTATTATTTGAAAAGTGCTTGGACGATAACAATCAATGGCTATGCCGCACGCGCACAAGTGTCTGTCATTTTGTTCACAATTTATTTATACAGAACCCGATTATTATAAAACTGGTTCATTTTCAGGTGTATTTATTACTTTTTAGGCGATAACTTTTTTTCCCCTTTTTTTTAAAATTTTCACTAAATTTTCATCATTTTTCTTAAGACTTACGATATTCGGTTATTGGATACAACTGTTCAAGGCATCCCCTCCATGCACCTCTGCATAGACTATTTAGCTGAGCTTTATGCTCAGGATTCTCCTCAAATAAAGGTTATATATATATTTTTTGGAATTATTATCATCATTTATTAATCCTTTTCAAGATATTCTGCTTACATTTGGCCAGTAAACTTTCCCTACAATACCCATTACCCAAAACTCTAAAAGTTATGAAAGTTTTGCTTTCGAAACTCAGCACGCCTCCTCTTGATACATCGGAAAACTTTATTTGCCAAGCGCTCCCCGCTTTGGGTAATTTTGTTATTCTATTGGCTATCGGCCCCTTCGTACTTTTTTTTGGAAAAACTGTTTTATCTGAGTCTTTTGAAAAATGAAGCTTTTGTTACTATAACTTGGATACTTTTGGTGGACACATTGTACCCATTTAAAAGTTTAGTGAACAAATTAATAGCCAATAGCGTTTGTTCCTTGCCAGATAATATATATTGACAGTTTTAGAAAATTATTTGCTTGTCAATAATTTTATTCATATTTTTGACTCTTTTTTAATTTTATTTTGGTGCTTTGTATTATATTTTGGATAATTAAAACGGTAATTGCACTCTTTAAGGCTGTTACTATTACTGATCAGATATATTTTATTTGGGTCCATAAAGCATTTATTTGGTACATAGCGCTCTCAAAGATTTGTTTTTTATAATATTTCTTTCATAAAATCTTTTTATGTTTTTCGTATTATATTTTCCTTTTATTATTTATATTTCATTTTATCATAAGTTTTGCTTTCTACTGCATTTCCCGATCTTTTGGAGGACGTAGTTGCATACCTTTTGCAATTGTGTATTTTTTATTTATTCATATTGTATATGAAAGAATAATATTTTCTTTATCTATATATATGTATAGTGGTTTTATTTAATTCTAATCATTTTTGTTAGCATCCCTCTATTCAAACTCTGAAAATGAATTGCAAAGTGAAAAAGATCTTCACATAAAATCTGTTATTAAGGAAACATTTGCTAAAGTAATTGAGAAAAAAACCAATTTATTTTAAATAATCAAATAAACTTTTTATTTATTTTTTATTTTTATTACTTTTATTAAAAACTCTTTTTACTTTACTTGTAAATAATTATAATATACAGAATTTTGCAGCTAAAGGCATTTTTTTGGTGGGAATTACTTTTTATTATTATTTGATTATTTCAAGAAACTCAAATAAATTAGCAAAATCGTATTAAAAAAATCTAACAAACATCTGCGAGAAGTTAATACAGTAGTTTATATGAATGTGAACTCTTAGCAAAGGAGAATACTCCAATACATGGAAACAGCTTAAAGAAGACCAAACTCATATAAAGAGGTTCGAAAAGATGATTAATTTTTTATTAGAAAGATACAAAACCTTTATCTCCATCTATATGAGACTCAAGGTAAAGTGGAGTCTCTTCATTAAAAGTTGTCTATTCAAAAACCAAATTAACCCTATTTTGGTAAAAAAGATCCGGTGATCGAAGACAGACCAAGTACTTCCTGAGCCAACTGTATTAACCTTTAGGGCTAGAAGTATCACTAAAGACAAATAAAAGATTTACTTGCCGCTAGCCTTTTAAGGGGGTCAGCTAAAATGGTATTAAAACAAGCACGCATATTAAATGGACGCTACCTTTCAGGAATTCGTTTCTTTTAAAATTGAGCTGTGGCAGCTTTGATGAGCCAAAGAAACCAGAGTTCAGTTGTTAACTCACGCTAGAAATTTTCTGTTGCCAATTATGTCAAGGAGTTCAATATTATAGGTGAAGTTTTAGAGCTGAATGAAGTAGTCTTCATATAACAATATTACAGAGGGCTTAAGGATGAAATGAAGGGAATTCTTTCTGAGAACCTGGAACTACCTGAAGATGTCCCTAAACTTCAACAGCTTTGTATTCGACTTGATAACAATCTTTAATAGAGCGAAAGAAACACCCTCCTTACACCCTCTTAACATGTAGTAGAGACAATATCTCAGAGCTACAGCCCACGGAGATCGGCGACTCGAGTATTAGGCCTTCACAGCAGACGAAGGAAGAAATCTCTGCGCGTACTGTAGCAACATTTCCCACAAAAGCGCAAACTGTGCACATAAAAAAAACCCAAAAGAAATTTTCTAGGAAGAGTTCTGCAATTCCCTTTTAACAGATAAAGTTCCTTTTCCTCATCCATATCAAAATTTCTTTCTGTCTCACTTACCGTGTAATACCTTCTCCGAGGATATAACTTAATTATAGAGTAGTTCTTTCTATAAAACAATTTTCGTTGCAAAATTTGAGAATTTAGATATAACAGTTTCTTTGCATAGGGGGTGCTCTGCGTATGCCTTAAATGCCTTATAATACACCCGCAATAAGCGGCTAAAACCGACTACACTAAACCTTACTAGCTTTGCAGTCTCTGACGACTCGGCAGGAAAAGAACCAATAAACTATGTCGCGGGGCCCTTAACTAGGTTCCTATCAAAGAAAATTACATCCCTAGCCGCCTAGATAAAAATCCTTAAATATTGGGATTACCATGGGCTTTAAGCCCATAACTCACGCGTGCCCACTACTGCAGAGATCATCTACCACCTCCTCCTTCATGTAAGCTGGTCAAACGTATGCCTTCCACAAAGAATAAACCCGATATGAGGCTATGTTCAACTGAAATATCTAATAAGCTGGCAACTGGATCTCTTTATCTACTTCTCTGAACCAGCGGGGAGTTTCCTTTAAAGTACCGAATTATTCAGATGATTTTGTTTTTTTGACGCATAAAATGTCTTACACTTATAATGATCTTTCCCCCTCCTCCAATAGACCTTAGGAAGTTAGAAATTAAATTGGTTGAGAACGCTGCACTCACTAACTATAGAAGTATACCCTTTATATTCAACTGATTTTCAATGTATAAAAAAGTTTCTTAATCGCGCACTCCAAAAAGGTTGGTTTCGCCATGCTTCCAGCCCCTTGGCTGCTGGTTGCTTCTTCGAAAAAAATCCTAACAATGAACTAAGAGTGTGTAGACTAACGCGATCATAACGCCGTAACAGCCAAGGATATGTTTCCTCTTCCCCTTATCGACTATCTGATTTCAGTCATATTGAAAGCGAAAATTTTTACACATCTTGACCTCTCATACGCTTACCACTTAGTACGGACTAAGGCAGGCGAAGAATGGATACGACTTTTCGTTTCCAGTTCGACCTTTACGAATAGCAAGTAGTTCCCTGTGACGGGCCCATACATCCGCGGTTTTCCAATTCCCTATAAACATGTTAAAAGACTATTCAGATAAATTTATAGTTATTTACTCGGACGACCTTCTTATATAAAGAAGGACAATAGTTTCTTATTACACTTATAAAGAATGGAAAACCCCTATATTGTTTTTACTTTATTAAAAAATAAAGTTACAAATATTTCCAATCTCTTACTTTTCTAAAACTATTCTCAAATTGTTTTTACAACTCTTTCTACCAATTAACTTGACGATGGTTTCGTATTACACTCCTCCGCGACTGTTTTGTTTCTTTGCTGTTGACCGTGTTAATTTAAAATTTGGTCACAAGCCACCTATTATTCTACTGAAGGTCCATGCACAAACAACCCTAATAAATTCTCTTGTCGTTTGTCGCCACTGGCCGCTCTCCTTTGTTCAAACTAAATGGCCCCTAACCTAGCAAAATTTCTATTTTTAGCTCTGGATGAAGCTGGTATCGTGGCCAGGCGATAGAAATTTTTTTTTTCTTACAGTAATATCGTTGAGCTCGCGATAACTTACACAAAACTCACAATTCATTATTTGATTTTTTCTTTTATAGAATTCGTTAAGGCATGATCAAGATACTCTTTCAACTTTTTTACTTCGTACGCAGCCCATCTTTCGAGCAAAAAAGAGTAAATTTTATTATACAAATATGTGTTAAAAATGTTTTGTATGTTTTAGCAATTATGCCTAGTGGGCGTAAGAAAGATTAACAATCTCGGTCTAATAACCTCAAGGACACAGTCTTCAAACTAAATGCACGGCCCACAATATATTTTTTTTTATATACTCCGCGTGGTACACGTCTTTTGCTTGGAGTACCAATTTAAATAGAAAGTTTAATATGCATGAGGCCAATAAGTGCCTGCTTTATAGTACATGTTAAACTTGGAAAGAAATCCTTTTTAACATTAAGAAATATTTAAAGCCACATCCAGACTTTTTGTAAGTAATCATGTATTTTTCCTTATTACTAAGATACATAAAATTTATAATCTTATGGGAAGAGTTAAAGAAAGAGAGCTCGGTGAAGGAGGAAAGAATTATTATATAATTCTAATTAGTCGCATTACTACAAAACTTATCTATAAGCATTTAATAAAAAATTATGGCTACTGGTTAGAAGCAAACTTAATCAAACGGATAATAAACCAACCTACATGAGTGGGGGATAACAAACTATCGAGTGCCAATATATCGATTAAGCAATACAGGCGAAAATGAACTTTTGAGTCAGAGTTTGTAATGTGGGTCGATAATTTGTTTTTAAGTAGTATTACATATGCAGTCTTCTTTCTGCCAAACAATTAGGATGCGAAATGTGGCAGAAAGTAGGAAATTGTTATTATTAAAAATAATGTACATTTTCAAAGCAAGCCTTTTAAACACAGGAAACAAAATAAAAGCGCTATTGCATGTAATGAGATTTATTAAAAAGTTATTAGCAAGTGGTATCCAATGCTACTCTTTAAGTATTTATGTATGGTTACTATATTTCTTTTTATAAAGGCCCTTTACAGATGGATGTTAAATATATTTTTTTTTAATATATATAAGGGAGTGCATTCGCCATACTAAAAAAAAAAAGATGAACTTTGTAAGGAGATAAAACTTTAAAAAACCATGTTAAAAGTTATATGCACCTTCAGTAGAATTTATCATCGCTATGTTTGGTGTACAACCTTTCTTTTTTGACTTCACAAAAAAAAGAGGCAAATAATGCCTCTAAACCAGTGCACAATATCTTTTGTCGTTAATAATTTTTACATTATAGAAGCTTCCCTTATCATTACTTTAAAAACCTTAATACATGTTGGGAATACCTAATAAAGGAATGCAAATTCCCACTTAAGCATTAAGAAATGATTCATTTAGCTTTTACACATTCCGGAAAAAGAATTATAAATTATAAGCTGTTATTCAGAGTAATAAGTAGAACGACAGTCATTAAAAAAAAACACTGAGCGCAACCAGACTGAACGATCCATTGCCTTAAAGTACTCTTCAACAGCATATAGTTGAAAACCGTAAAGAAAAATCTTTCAGGGCAAAGTGCGAAGACGGACCAAAATTACTAATAAATAACTGGGTAACTAACAAAAGGCTTATAATTAGCTTTTCCTTAATCTTGTTTGCTATTCCTTCTGCAGCTTTTTTGTTACAGGCTTTTAAAAATAATTACATGCCTGAAAAGAAAAGGAGAAATGCTCTGGCAGAACTTTCAAGATACCGCATCGAGTAGTAGAGATTGGGCTCCAAAACCAGAGAACACCCCAAAAAAAATAAACTGATGCAAAGCGGTGCTCTGAGTGGGATACTCTATCGCTTTCGTGCTTATGAGCCGGAAGGACATATAAACAAAGGGCCCAACCAAACAGAAGTCGCCGATGCGCAAGCGCAGACCACCTTATTCACCACTACAGTTTTTCTCATCCTGCCAGCTGTCCGGCACCTATATTTAATGTATTCATCTAAATTTTCTTTTTTAGGACTAGTAATATATTTCGCAACTCATATCCAATTAATTCTTAGGAGTAACCAATGGAAACTACCTCTTAAACTCCATGTTACCTAATCAACCAATGAACAATGTGAATTTCAGCAACATTGGCGAAAATGGCAATTTCTGACAGCTGCTTGGTTCCCAGAGACTCGGCGGATCAAGTTCTAGAGCATAACTTAGATTTAACGAATCCACTGGATTCTTATAAATTCTTTTAGTAAAATAAAAATTTACTTATTTAAACCAGTTTGCCTTGCTTATAATTTTTCAATATTCCTAAAATTCCTCAATAAAACTATGATAAAACCCTGCTTTTATAAAACGGAAGCAGTTAAAAACAAGAAAATAATAATAAGAGTTCCATAGAATTTCTGCTTTCAAGAGAAGAAAATTAAATTGCCGGAAGAAGCTAGACTCTTAGTAGGTACGTTAATAATTGAACGCAAAAGATGAGATTATGTATAATATTATTAGAATCATATTTAAAAACATCTAATTAAACTTGTAGCTGGCATTCTTATTTTTTAACAATTATTATGTTTAAGAAACCACTTGTTTTTATATGAATGGAACTTCCTCTCGCCTACTCGCAACAGAGATTGACCGAATAAGTTAGCAGAGGCGATGTTAAACAAGTGCTTTATACTGATTATAACTAGTGTACATAATAATAATATAAATGAATATATAACTTTTAAAAAGAACTCATGGGTTTAATACCAGCTCAAAGTTTTTAAGGAGACTGCTCGTAACAACCGTTGATAAGAGATACCAAGTGCTATAGTCGAAGAAAAGGTTTCTCACGCCATAATATAATTATTTTCCATTATAGCCTAGAGATAAGTATATAAATAAATAAAAAAAACTTCTTGGAGTATATATTAACAGATATTGAAGTATATATTTCAAATTAATTTTTTTTAGTCAACTGTATATTTGATTAAGTAAAGCCCTATTTAAACTACAATGTATTTTTTAAAATCTTAGTATATTATTATATTTACCCTAGTTAAAGACTTTATATAAGTCATTAACCTTCATTATTAATTTGTAGAAACTGGAAAGGGACTAAAATTAGAGGATGAAAAGAGCAGAGTTTAAAAAAATACCTTTCTACGCCTTTGTAGCCCTATAAAAGCAACTGGAAGAAACATACTCTTTTTAGTCTTATTATCCGTCTTTTGCGTTATTTATTCTTAAAACAAGCAATAGATGAGTTGATTCAAGCTATGCTTTAAAAAGTAACGTTGGTACCATCTTTAAAAGACATTTACGATTATGTTTATACAAGTCTATCCTTAACGTTTATTTTCTGTCTACCTTGTTGCTAGGACTATAGTAAACTAAGGAATTTTCCAAACCAAGTTCCTATATACGCCTTCTTAAAACGTTATGACCCCCAGTACTTTCTTACCATTGCATATGATGATTGTACCCAAGTGTTAAGTTAAATGTTTATTATTAAAAAACGTCAAAAATTAGATGCCACCCTTAGGGGATATTAACAAATCAAAAAAATTATTTTTATTATCAAAAATTGGTGGTTCTTTTTCTGTTTCTCGCTTCATTAATAGTTGTTAAATAGCTAATCATCATAATTATTTTACTTAAGCACTAATAAAAAAAGTTAGGTGTTATTACAAAAAGCTTTACACCACTTTTAAATTCTATTTTGTATCGTGCTCTACTGTAGTGTATAAGTTAAAATTATTTTAGTGTAACAAGCCAGTTTCCCTCTCATTATTTTTTTTCTCGATCTACGCCCATTTTTAATTCCGACATTTCATTAAGTTTGCAGAAATGTTTAAGAGCTTTTTATTACATAGAGTATTTAAGTCACTAATTTGTAGTATAAATATCGCTAAGCTTATAGTACTCGCACGTTTGTAGCATCTAAACAATAAGGTTGCAAATTAAAATGCGACGCTGCTAACTGATTTAATTTAGCTAAAGAAGAACGTTTGGTGGTGATCGACACTACGGCAAATTTAATATATGCCTTCTCAATTTAAACCTATTTCCTGCTTAATAACGTACCTTGCTTTAGTTAAGTAAGTTTTAGGTGATTGTACTTTATAGTTTCTTCTCGCAGGTACTTAGCTTTTCAATAGATCTTTTTTGATATTCTGCAATACAAATCGCTTAAGCAACATGTTTAAAATATATACTGGCCTGCCTGTCTTTTACAGTTCTCTGGTTCTGTCGTAGCAGTTACTTGTTCTGATGTTGTTTTAGCGCACCACTTTTTTTATTATTTATAAATAACAATTCTTAGTGTTCGATCGAGTCACAAAAACTCGAATGCTCGAGATCTCAACCACTATTATCATGGGTGGGTGGCGATAACGTGCTCCTTCCCATGACTCCAAAATAAGTTCGCTCACCTGCAAGCGATTAGTGTACCTGCCTGGCTAGCCTGATATAAAGGGCATGGGCCTCACTTTGGAAGAACGATGCCTAAAGGTCCAACTGAAGGTACCGGTGATAAGCTTCATTTTCGCACAAACTACGACGCGTTTGTCATCACGTGCAGCAATTAGTTTTGTCGCACCGCTTTAGTTTGGCAGTAGCAGCCTATATATTTTCCTAACGCTGTATCTTAGGCCCTTAGAGCGATCATTAGAGCTCTTACAAAAGCTGTCTACTAGTTGACTTGAAACCCTCTTAATGTGGAATCAGGGTAGGCGTGTGGAGTTTAACAAGATTTTAAAGTAATGAAAATATAAAGCATTTTATTAAAAAAAATGTATCTATTTAATATGCAACAACGATATATGAATCAATCTAGATATTTTAGATTATTTAATGATATATTAAACTTAAAAGATTAAACAAGAATAGTCGGTTAGTCTAATTGTCTCCTTCTGACTCTTTATATTGTTCTTTACTTTTATTATTTTATTATCTATTTTTATTAAAACTTTTACATATATTTTATATTGATTCATATTTTTCTATAATTTTCTCAAAATTCTATTACGTTAAAACTATGTGCCACTGAACGGGATAACTGTAAAACATATTTTTAAAAGAGGATGGAGGAAAAAGGTTGCTTTGTTAATGAGGAAACATTTTTGATTGAGGTTCAGGAAGTTATGAGGAGCTGCCTCAAACCACAAACTTCTAGGAAAATGAGAAATTCGTTTAAGCGCTGAATATTTAAGGTGCTGAAGTTAACTCTGATAAATCACGTGCTTATATCACGTGGCAGGAATAACATTCGTTTTTATGCCATGTGCACGTCTGTTAGGTACTGCGTGTCCACCCACTTTAAGCGTCTGCACCACATTTTACACATCTTGTATTTTTAGCTCTAGAAAGTATACAGAGCCTCCCTCTACGGGGCAATAAATTGACTGCTCCTCTTTTTCTTCGTTAAGAAGCAACTGAAGCTTGCGAAGAAGAGGAGAGCTATTTTGAGGAAAAAAATTTTTAAATTTAAAAATGATTAATAATTCTGGGTGGAGGGGGGGTGGAAATGTAAAAATGGGTGGCTTGAGTTGAAAAATTCCGCTCTCAATTGCAACAGGTTGATAGAACGGTTTTAGGAAAGAAGGAGCCAACTGGAAGGTAAAGACTTTGTTTTCCAGAACAATAAAGTATTAGTGATCAGTATTTTCACTGATAACTTTAATATTCAACTTGTTAACTCACAAATCATAAGGCGCGCAATATGAAACAAATACAAATACTTCTTTCGGTACAAGCGATTAGTATCAGCTACCGCAATCTAAAATTAAAGGGGCTATTATAGATAAAAAGGTAGAGAAGCACCAAAGAAAGCACTTTTTTGAAAGTTTATTCTGAGGATAAGAGAAAAATGTCGACTTAAACGAAACAGAGTATGAGGGACATGTTAATAACAGTTACATCATGCACCTTTTCAGAAATGATAACACGATATATGAGATGAGTAAAAGATTTTCTTTGACTAACAAATATAAAAAAAAATCGATACGGAAGAAAATTTTATAAAAGGAAAATTCGCCTTAATCAAAAAGGATGAATATAAAAATGGCGAGGCAAAATACATCGCTCTTATTCCATATACTTTGTGCCTCAAATGGGTGTGTTACTTTAATTTAAACTAAAAAGAATAAGTTTTAATCAATCAAAGATTAAGCCATGCATCTTTCACGGTAATGGAAGAGGACTCCGACGCATCTCGATTATATACGTTGTTGTCTTAAAAAATTTTTCTAATAATACTTTAAAGACAAGAGGATAAAATATTTTTTGCACCGGGGGTATGCTCGCGGACATGTTCAAAGTGTATTATTAGAAAAGAAATTTGCCGATTTTCGTGATAGAATATTGTTTTCGGGAATATAGTAATTGCTGTGCAATGTATTAAAGGAGTGAGTTTAGAACTTAACCACCTTACAACACTGATTTCAAATGATGGTAGCTATTTATTGTTTATTAGGTACCTTTTAAATCAACTGTTTCCATATGTATAGTATATTTATATGTATATTTAATAAAACATATTGCGGCTCGTCCAATTTTTTTTCTGCTCTATTTTCCTTTCTTTCTTCTCCGGTTTTTACCTCTCTTCAGTGTTTAGTTTTAGATTGGTCTAGAGGACCGCGATATTATAAAGGAAATAGTTTTAGTCTATGGGGCGTTTAGGTTGAGGTCTGTAGACAGCTTAGTAGTCAAGAAAACTATAAGTAGAAACTCGGTTAACTAATTTCACTAAATACTTTAAACGGATTAAGGAAGCTTAATATGAATAATGAGCTGTAGACTTTACTAAATAATTTTAAGTTCTAGAGCAGAATGTCTTATTTTTATAGGGGGTATTCTACTCAATTAATATTTACCACCCAGTTATGTAGGTTGTGTTTACCATGTTTAGTAATCATAAATTAGATCTCTGTTATTTAAATCTTAGTTGAGTATGGTTCCCAAAACGCACACCATTATCCTATCTTGGATTACGCTGTTCTTCATTCATGGCGCTAATAACTTGACAAGATAAATAAATTTAAATAATAATTTAATGTGTATATAGATAGCATTATAATAAATAAGGAAAATAAATAAAAAACATAACTTTTATAACATTTTTACTTATTAAAGGTAATTCTGGAGCAAAAAGTGTTAAAAAACTCTGACTTATCGAGCTGCCGATCATGTTAGTAGCGTACAAATAAAAAATTTGCCTAAATTAAAGTAATTTCTAATAAAATTGTTAACATGACCCAACACGCTTGAGATGATTAACATTTTAAAAGATATAGACCCCTATAAGTAACTATAATAATACAAGATGAAAAATAAAAACTAATATATACATAGGTTTGCAGATATAACTACAAATATAATGACTAAATATAAAGAAACCAAAAAAGAGAGAAATTTAAAAATAAAACAACCGTTAGCCTCTCTAGTTGTTTTGTTAATAACTTTAGTCTTTTTCTTTATTACAACTTTGAGATAGGCACTACAGTCCGGGACGAGAACTACACGTATTGAGGACTAGTAATTAATACGTGTAACGGGAAAAACGTGAGAGCAGGAAGAGAAGAAGGGTTCTGTTGACTTGTTTTGTACCCTAGCACAGAGCTTGTAATACACCACTTGAATTATTATCTCTAATTGTGCAAATAAAAAATTGAACGTGAGGTATTATTTTTCATTTCGTATAAATACAATGTGTTTCTTTTCATGATTTAAATTAAGTACATTCTTCTACGAAAAACGAAGCTAACTTATTAAATAAAAACAATTAAATCTAATTAAATCTGATTGCACGATAGTAATTAACGAATACAATTAAACTTTTCATCAAAGTTTGTTACCATATATGGTAAAGAAAGCTAGAATTTGTCACATTAAATTAACAAACAGAAACCATTTTAATCTAATTAGTAATTAAGGTTTATGAGTTTATAATAAAAAAACGATCAGGCAAACTATGACTAGAAAAATCTGCGTTGCTGTTGATAATTCTGAGACTAGCAAGTATGCTTTAACTTGGACAATAACCAATATCTACAAACCAGAGGCATCTGTGAGCAATAAATTTTTAAGTTATTTAAAATTTAGAGAAGGCATCGTTAATTTATTATATTATTATATCTTAAAATTTTGACTTCCTCCAATTAAGTTATATGGATATTCATTAGGATATAATTTATATTTTACATTCTGTTCAAATGCAAGCGGTTTCACCATTTTATAGTTCTCTTGACGCTTCCGGGACCTCCGGTAACGAGTGATTCAGTTGTAGCGCCTTTGAGCTATTTTTCATAATATTTATTTTTGAAATAACTTTTCATAAGCTGATCTTCTCATAAGTATGCGTGAACGCGAAATGGAAGAGGGGAGAAATATTTTAAAAGATTATGGTGTATTCTGTGACCAAAAAAACGTTAAATTCTTATTAGAGTTAACAGTGTACTAATTATTTTACTAGAAGTGTATAACTAGTGCTCGTTTATCATGTTTATTAAAAACAGTGGTGACCCTCGTCATACTATTTGTGAATTCGTTGAAAGTCAGAACATCGATCTTCTTGTACTCGGGAACCGTGGATCGGGTCTTTTAAAACGCATTATTCTTGGCTCTGTTAGTGACTACTGCTTAAATCACGCTGAAGTATATTATCTCTAAATATTTCCTAAATAACTTAAATATAATATCATTCACTAATATTACATCAGTGTCCCGTTCTTTGCGTGAAACAACAAATTTCACAAGGCAAGGAGCCTAACGAATAAATTTTGTGTCCACAATTATTTAAATTAATTATTAATGTTATAAGTTCTGTTGTCGGTATATAAAAATTTTTAAAGAAGAGTTCTCCTATCGCATGAGCTACTAAATAGATTTAAGAAGATTAGTACATACTATACACCACCACAAGTTTCTTAGGTTCTAAAAAGCTTTAGTAGGATCACTAATTTTGCTTTGAGTTTAGCTGTTAATTAAGTGAGATAGGGAGATTGCTATAAGAAAATAAACACAATACCTTTAACAACCTAAAATACCAAACTACTTTTTTTATATATTCCGAGTCTTCTCTATCAATCAAGTCAAGAGGTCTTCAAACAGAAAAGCTGTTTACCGGTATCGTTTCAAAACAAGAGTGATTAACTTACACTTTGACCGTTAAAGACCGCATTGATTTTACTGAAACAATACAATATTAAAGGCATATACTAGCCAATTTTTTACGACACACTCAGTTAGGTGTTCTTTTAATTTTGTATTCTGCTCTTTTCTTCGCTCAAGTATACAATATCCACAAGTGAGAACCCTTGTTGACAATTCGTAGGCTAGCCAGAAAATACGCACGACTTGAGCCCTGCGAAAGCTTCCTCTCTCCGGTCAATTAACGTCTGGTTCGACGCAAAACTGCTAAAACTTTGCCACTGTATAATTTATGTGCTGTTTAGAGTCGATAATGACCTTAAACAGATAGAGGAGCCACCTTAATTTTGACCTTAAAAAGCGCGCCGTAGTTAAAAAGGAAACGAATTAAAAGTGACGCTGGGGCCTAACTTGCGAATAAGGCTTTCAACTACCCCCGACCAAACTATTTTTTATCATTAAGAAAGAGAGCGCACATGGTTTATGTAAATTTGAAACCCAGCTCGTTCCACTCGAGAGGTAGGTGCTGAGTTGTTGAAAATTTGGTAATGAATGCCGATTTATTACGTCTTTTGACTATGCCATCCCATAGCGCAAAGGTGGTCATGTGCTCGATTTTATTCGCATTTAACGTCGCTCAGCCTGTCCCATTACAGGTGATGAAGGTAGTTATTAGCTTAATTTAATATACACTGTTGTAGCCGGTTAACCTTGGCCTATAAGCGATACGAGGATGCTCTTTTTTCGAACCTAAAGCAATGTAAACGCCGCAGGAAAGCGTCATCAGCTCCTCAGGTAGGCTGTTGTGGTAATCTGCACCTTCGCCTGTCGTCATTATGACGGCAAACACATTAGCGCTCTTAAAGTGAGCAATAGTAGTCCAGAAGAGCGAACGTCGCCACCAATTTTGTGGTACCGTAATTTTGGGTTACTTTTTATATAAGGATGGTTTAAAAAATGCCCTACCTTTTATGCTTTCTTTATAATGTATGTATCCTTTAGTATTAGAAGAGTAAGGATTAGTTTAGGGTTGGTAAATGTATTTTTCAATTAATTATAACAGAAGCCAGTTTATTAACTTTTAAAGTTGTCAACTTTTTATTGGAGAGCTCTCTGTTAATAAATAAAAGATAAGTTAATGTATCCTATTGATCACATAACCCGTAAAAAAAGTGAATGCTAGACACAAAAAAATTAATTTTTTATTATTATAGATTGACGGTCCATGTTAAACTGGCATAGCTTTAAATAAGCTTATGTTTTAAAACACTTACTGCCCACAAAATTTCGAGAGGGTTATCAAAAAGCTTCAAGTATAATGAAGGGTTGGTCTAAAGCCTTAAAGAATTAGCTCTCCCCAGTCGGCCCTCGCACTCTTGTTTTAAAACTCAAAAAGACGGCACGGACTAGAGTTTACTATCTTTATGACCTCCGCTACCAATTATATTAACAGAAGTGTATATACAACAAAATCTATTATAACTAATATTACTAATAAACGATAAAAGTGTATAAATGAGCTCAAACAGTCGACGGCCGCAAGAAATAAGCAATTGGGAGGCCAGTGAAGGAGAAGTATACTTTTCCAAATTTGATGATATTATTAAAGCGCTCATTGACTCGGAACCCGAGGTATTGATTTGCAAGAGATAATGCTAATTTACATTGACTAACTGTTTGCTATTTGTTTACGCTAATTTATTTAATAAAAAGTTTAAAACTAATAGTTTCAATATTTTATGGTAGCTCGTAGCGAAGGAAGAATTGACTTCAAAAGCAGCTGCTCTACTCATTTCCTCTCTAATACAATTCCAAGAAGGAGCTATGGGCCGTCATGTAACGGAAGCTCGTAGGCCTAAACTTCCTCATAAACTTTTTCAAGGTTGCTTTTTTTTCTAATATAATATATTAAGACTGTTCAAATTGTTCCTAATTGCTATTGACTTTATCAATTTCTCTACATATACTAAAGTAAACTGTATTTATACTAACCGTAGAGTTTTTTTTGCTCTTGCGAAGCTTTTTGTTTCAATAAATACTTTATAATTGGCTAACTTTTGTAACTTAAAAGTTATACCTCACCTTGTTTGCTTTTGCGTACCTGTTAGGAGTAATTTTCCTTTTCTCTTATGAGTTAGTAAACCTTTTTTTAATAAACAATTTCTCTATTTTGAACTTAAAGTAGTTGATTTTTATGCCCTTTTTAGTTATTCAGAACCGTCATCTAGTCATCATTTTTATAAAGTAATTGTATAATTTAATCTCCTTTTATATTTTATTTATTTTTTTTTAAAAATATTTCAATAATATAAACTTATTAACCTCTGTATTGGATTTTAAGTTTATAGTATATATTGTTATTTTTTTTTTATTTTAAAGTTGTTATATATTTACATCTGTTTATTGTTACATTTATTAAATTTTCGATATATTATAAAGGACTCGATTTTTATTATTTTTTCTTATTTAATTATGACGTAAACTTTTCTTCTGATTTTTACTTGGAATTATATTTATACTTACAATTACTTCTTAATCTTTACAACAATATTCTTAAATATTAACCCAAAAGACTGATCCTACTTTTTTGTTTTACGTGAAAGTGCCTAAAGTATATATTTTTTAACAAGAACATAAATTATACAAAATTGCTAAACATTTAATTTTTTACTTTAAAGAGGTTAATATATCTATTGTTAGAATTTATTAATATTATAAAGTTAATCTTTATAATATTATATTTGTTTTAAATTATATAATTTTAATTGAAAAACTATTGTAATAACTTATTTTACTATTTATTGAATTGAACTACATCTACTTATATTTTCAATATCTTTATATTGAGTATTTTCACTTTTCAGTTAAAATATAATTATTACAACTCCTTAAAGTGTAGCAATATTTTTGGTTTATTAAATTTTTAGAGTTTTTGAAATTATCTCCCTTTACCGTTGTTCTTACTTAATAATACTTTTTCCCTTTTTTTTATCTTATTACATTCATTATAGAGTTTTCGTTATAAATATTATATTATATTATCTTCAACTTTATAAACTTTCTTATAAGTATTTTCTAACATTATTATGAAAATCTTCACATAAAAAAAATTGTTTTATATTTTTTACTTTATTAATGAGAATTTCAACTTTTATAACTGGTTATCTTTAATTCTTACATAAACTTTTTCACTTTATTTTTTTTTATTGATAATCATATTTATTCAGTCCCTTTTCCTTTTCTTACTGCTATTATTTTTTATTTTAAATTTAAAAATATTTCAATAAATATACTTATTATAACTCTTGTATACTAAATAACTTTCCCATTAGTTTTATTTTAACTCTTAGTAAGGATTTTAAACTTTTTATTACGTGGTATTTTTTATTTATACTATAACTTTTATATTAACAATATTTAAAATATTTTATTTATTAATAGATTACAGTTCCGCCGGCTCGTTATACACTATTATATTATCTATTCTACAATTTAAACGATCAGCCAGACTGCGCCGTATCGATTTTCAAAATCCACTTAAACTTTCTTTGCATTTAAAAATATTGGATAAAGTTGAAGAATCTCTAATAGAAAAGGTCAATTTATTATTTACTTTAAAATTTAAAAAAAAAGTTGTTATTATGGATGTTAATAGTTAATTTTTTATAAGTTTTCTAGATTTAGTTATTATTATTATTAAAATTTTTATTCTAATATTTTATTAACTCATAAAAATGTGAACTTTATATATTATTAGGAATTTTTTATATTCCCTTGCAAATATATTAAAACATATTTTATTATATTTATATGTCACTGACCAAAAAAATCACCTCTTTTAAGTTTTTTTTTTTGATTTATATATTTTTTATTTTCTTCTTATTTGTTAATTTATAAAAAAATTTCATCATTTCATTTAATTTACCATAAAAAAATTTGCAAGTAAAATGAATTAATTTTTGCGTTTCATTAATGCTATTATTATTTAGAAACTTTTATGAATTAAATTTACTTATAGTTTTATTTCTTTAAGTTTGTAGTTTTAATTTTTTGTTGCCCTATAATTGATTTTTAGTTATGAACTAATCTTTTAATAACATAATCTGTTTTTCTTACTAATCGTTTTTATTATATTCTAAAAGTTGTTATACATATTTATGATAGTAAACCTTATACATACTTACGGGCTTTCTAAGTAATAACTGATCAATCTAGTATGATGACATTAAAGTTGTTATATTTATTTACTTTTCACTATTGCAGGGCTTCCTTTCCTGGCCCGTTGTGTACTTTGCAATCTCCGTAAGTGCTTTAACTATCAACTGTTGTCTGTAGTATAAATAAAGTCAAACTCGCTTATTCTAATTTTTCTTTTATAGCTGAGTTTCACTATTTATAATGAAACATGAAGTTCAATTTTTTTTATTAAAAAATCTTTTATTTAGAGTAAAAAGCAAACCAACCGACTTAAAGCAATTGTTCTTTGCTATAAAGGAAAAGTCACCGACCGACCAGAACAGGCTACTCACATTGTCACTTGTATCCCTCCTTATGAACCCGATGACGATTGGCTTAGAGTTACTAGGAAGCTCGACAGTCAAAGAGTGCTTGTTCACTGGTGGTACCTCCCGGATAGCTATGACAGTATTCTCGGATTGGATGAAGTGGGTGATCCTGATTTGCTTGATGCGTCAGAGTCGCGTCCTATTGGGCCGTGGAAGGTGAATGGAAGGTTCATTACGGATCTTGAGGTCTTCCACGAGTGGATGAACGAAAAAGATTATGAAGTTACGGACGACATTAATGGTTGTTTTCGTTTATTATTAAAAGTAATATTAATATCAAAATTGTCCTTTTTTTTATTAGTAAATCATATTTACTATTTTTATATATTACTTGTAATATTTTTATAGAGTTAACAATAAAGAGCAGAGAAATTTGTTTCAAAATAATTTTTGTCTTTATTAATATTAAGAGAGCTACTCTTTGTGCTTGTGATAAAAATCACACGAAAAGTTCGAGATTGAAGCGTCCAGTAAAAAGTTACCGAAACAATGTTAGTGCTAGTAAGGAAAATTAGAAGCGTTAAACATAGAAAAACAATAAACTTTTTTTCATTTTCGTAAAATATTTTTTAATATAATTTATATATTAAAAATGTCTAATTATAGAGAACATCGTCCTTTTCACTTCTCTACTTGCATAATAAAAGCTTTTCTGCGTAACCTTTTAAATATTTAAAAATTTTGTATTAAGCAAAATCCCTTAGAAAAGTATAGTAAATTATTATGCGGAATTATTATTTATATTTAGAATAATGAAAATTCCTTTCAAACCATTTATGTAATAATTTAGTGTCGATAAAAAGATGAACCTTTATGGGAGGGGCTAAAAGTTTTGTGAAATACGAAATTGTTATTGACTTTCTTTTAATTCCAATAAGTAGTTTTGTCAAAGGATAGCCGTGAATAGTGGATTTTTCTTGTAAAGGTTTTTAAAGTATTTAAAGAAAACTTAAAATAACAAAAATAATAGTAGTTGGGCCTGTTTACTAATTATATAAAGTTATGGGTTTTTTTAATCACATTTCTGTTATTTTTCTTTTAGTAATGTTACTTTTATATATTATATAGTTTACAAAAATGTTGTTAATATTAATAACAAAAAAGCGGTACTTCTAATGTAAGAATTATATTATTTATTTTTATAATAATATTTATAAATATTTCTATCTTTATTGATTATCACCATTTTTGATGTTTTTACGTTTTCAAAAAAAGAGTTTGTATAAAAAAAGCGTAACTTTTAAGGTGTCTTCCATTCTCATTCGTCATTAATTATCTATTATCGTCTAAAGTTTATCTTTTACTTATAGCCAAGTTTTCATAATAACCGTTATAATTAGTTTCTAAAGTTTTTAATTATTAAATTTAACATAATGATAGTTGATAGTATCTTGGATTTACTTATATATCAACATATTATTAATACCTATTATAGCGACAACTAAAAGTCGTCATTTTTTATTTATAATTTTAAATATATTTGATACGATATGCAACTTTTTTATAATATATTGTGGTTTAATATATATAACTGCTCATATTAGAAGTCGAGCAGGTCGAAGCGAGTATCCCCCAAAAAGAACAACTTCAAGAATTTTCGGGATTTTACGCAAATGACGTTGATATATATAAATATTTGGGAAATTATAAGGAAAATATCATCAAAAAGCCTTGTATTCAAGAGATTAACATAACCAATGAAGTGATTATTTATAGTACTTCCATTGAAACTTTTTAAGAGCTTTTTTATTAGATATAATATATTTTTGTAGTATACGTGTAAACTTATAATTAAGCAAAAAGCGGATAATGAAGTACTCTAAATTTTTTTTTAAATCTATATTTTTTCAATCGAATAGATAAGTTATGAAGTTGTTAATAATATCCTTAATTAATATTTTTGTAAAGTTTACCTTATTAAACTTTTTTATGTTTAATACGACTGATAATTTTTATTATTATTAACTCATTATTATAAAGTATATTTTCTATTTATTTATATTTACCGGTAATTACGGATTCACTTAAAATAACGAAGTTATACTTTTTTTTTGTTATAAAACTTTTTTTTCGCTCTTATTTTTATATCTCTTTTTTTGTTAGGAGTACGTTCCTTTTAGAAACGGATCTTTTTTCAATATTTCCTATGAGTGTGGTTAGTTTCTTCAAAAAATGTTGTATTAAATGTTCGCTTTTATAAAATTTTTATAATATCTTTGAAGTTTTTAATAAATTCTTTTATTGTATTATTAAGTTAAAAACTTTAAATATATTACATTATTTAATCTACAGTTTGTTTGTGTTCTTTTTTCATTTGCTTATATCTCAACCTTTTAAATATTTTATAAATTATTAGGCAATAATGACTATTCTTATACTTTATATGGAAAAAAAGTTTTCGAAAATCTAAAGAAACGTATAAGCGGTAATATTCAAGAAGACGAAAATATTAATAATTATGAAAAATTTTCCAAAAATGTACTGAAATTTGTTTTGTATATTGTTATTTTATATATTTATATATATATGTAAAGTATAGTTCTGATAAGACTATAGGCCTGTCGAAAATTTCTAAAATGCTATTCTAGTTGTAAATAGTTGTAACCTTTTAATAATTTCTTTTGTTGGGTAAATTTTTGCATAGAATTTGTTGATTGTGCCAAAGTCGGCAGCCTGGTTTGACTATAATGCCATTCATTTTATTGAAAAGTTATGCTTTTTTGAGTTTTTCAATAGAAAGAGTAAATTCAAGTCCGCAAAACTGTATCAGTATATTTCTTGCATCTTCTTTGCCTTTTCTTATTTTTCACTGGTCAGTTATCAGGCCTATAGGAATTTCATGATCGATTCGTTCAGACTCAATCCGAGCAAACTTCTTACGCTCTCCTTCTGTTTTGCTCATCTTCAAGGTGATTCAGAAAATATTACTCGGTTAAATTATTATACTTATAATTATTATTATTAACTTGCCGTCGCAATGCTTGAAGGATTCCTTTTCTTATCGTTATAAACTTTTTAGTGTTTTTAAAAGTTACTTTAATGTTTATTATATTAAAAAAAATGCATGCACTTGTGCCATGTTTAATAAACTTATCCGTATCAACTTTTAATGGTTAAAATCTTTTTTAAATGACTTTCAGTATTATTTACCGGTTCATTGAAAAAAAAATTTTTTAATACATTTTGTTATTCGCTACTTTTACGTAAACTATTGATCATGTACGTTTGCTTAATTTAAAATTATCAGTAATATTTAAGTTTTATATATATTAAAATTACAAATAATTATTGAGTGAAAACTTTTTATGTGTCGTACAGTATATAGTAAAATTACTAATTATATATAAACTATTAAGTAAGTGCAAACTTCTATTGGTTATGAGCAAAAACTTTTCTACAGTATTCTATAAAATACATTTATATTAATTATTATATAAACTATTGAGCGCTTCCTTTTTATATTTAATAAAAATTCCATTTATACTATTTTGCTATACTTAATACAGTCATTTATGTGTAACTGTAAAAACTACAAAACCTTTTTACCTTATAACTCTATTATTAGTATATTCTGCTTTTTGGAATTTTGGGGTCTCATTAATTCCTTCCCTTTGTTGTCTGAGGGAATTGAAGAAAGTTTGCCTTTTCTTTTTTTAAAGCGTTTTTATTCCCCAGAAAATACTTTTCTCGCTGGTTTGGACAATAAAAAGGTTCTTATTTTGTAGAGATCTTTAACTATTTTTTTCTTTATTAATGTTTATAATACTTTTTATTATTATTATTTTTAACACTTTTGTGTGCGATGCTTTTATGTTTCGTTACCTTCTCATGTGGTTGCACGCTCATCTTTTTATTTTTCCTCTAGTCGTTACTTAATAAGATATACAGTTCTAAATCTAACGAGCAACATACATTAACCAAGAAAAGACTTAAGGACTGGAATTCCAATGAAATAAGAGTTTTATTCGTTTATTCATTTAAATCTTCATATATTCATTATTTTAAACAGTTATGTGATGTCTGTAATGCCGCGTTGAATGGGGAGGTTTACCAATCAAAGAAAATAAGGGACCTGTATATGGAAATTTGCACCACGTGTTTTTACGAGGGCCGTTATCCGCTGGAGATGTCCAGCAGCGATTTTATGAAAGTTGTCTTATTTGCCAATTCCGAGGATATCTGGGCGGAAGGAGAGCTGAACAAGCTTTTACTCGTTATGACACATATTTTTTGATTATAAATACTTTCATGTAGTCACAATATACGCCCATGTCGTTCGCGAATAGTTAATAAAAAATAATAAATAATTTTTTTTTGAGCACACGGGCCACTCATAAGAATAATACTCACGCATTCCTATATTTTTTATTGGCGAGTGTCGAGTTAACTTAATCAATATAATTGTTGGGTATGTCTTTAACTAATCTGAACATTGACGAACTTTAGAATGTTAATAATTTAAATAAACGTGGCGGAGCTTGTTGGTTCGGACTCTCTCTGTCCCCTAGGAAAACTAACCTTTCATTTGTTGTTATGTGTCAAATATAATAGTGAATTCTGTAATTTTTTAAAATTCTCCAGATTTTATATTTATGCATTCACTTATATATAATCTCCTTTGAGACTTTCATACGCAGTTATATATAGCAAAGTAAATAGTTAATTATAAGTAGTATGGAGGATAAAATTGAAGCTTTTACTTCTATAGTTACACTTTGCAGGCGCCACTTATTTTTAGCTTTGTAGTTTATTCTCTTTTTCAAAGTTTTATCTATGTTTTCCACTTTTTATAAATACACACTTTTAGTAACTAGTATTAAAATAGCTATTAAATAGAATCTTGTAAACTATAAAATTATTAATGTAACAATCATAATTGGTTACTTGCTTTCTATAATAAGGATAATAACTAAATAGTTTATATCACTATATCATTAGCGTATTATATATTTTGATAACTATAACAGTAATATAGTAATACTATTATATAAATTATAATAATAATGAGCTTATATAAAAACGAATAATCCTGTAACTGTAGACTATTATAATTTTAGACTAGTTATGCAAATACATATAACTGTTAAAATAGTAATTATTTCTTTAATTAAAATATATAATAAACGTAATCTTTATTAGCAAGTAATACATTATGTGCATGTAGATTTTAGCTTAAACTTTCTTTATTATTATTTATATTTAGAAACATAATAATTTATTGTTGTGAATAGGTAGAATGATATTAAGGAAATATAACAAATAAAGTTAACTTCTATATAATTAGGGCGTCCATAAATATAATGATGATTGGGACAAAATTGCCGAATTTGTTGGGACAAAAACTCCCGCCGCGTGTATAATGAGATTTTTAAAGCTGCCCATTAAAAAAAAGGTCACTGATTTAAAACCCGAATTTGGTATTTTTTACATTTCATCTTTAGATGTTCATAAACTTTTTTAAATATTTTTTTTTTAGTTTTTTTAACTATTTGTAATGTTACACTGTTTAAACTCTAAAATAAACTTTATTCGAATAACCTTTTTTGCTTTAGAGTTTTTAATAAAATTTTAATATATTACTAATTTTGATATTATAAAATTTCTATTCAAACTTTTCTTGCCAAACGATATTCGTTTATATAATTAGTTTATAATTTTCTGACTAAAGAAAGCCTTGGAAAATAAACTGTTTTATCCGCTTATTGTAGTACAAAAAAACTGTGCCTTTTTATATCCTATGGAAATATTATTCCCATTTTTTAATTTTTTTCAATGATAATAAATTATGGTATCCACTAACTTTCTCTCATTGCGATTTCTATAAAAAACTATCCGGTTTTTATATATTATTAATTTTTTAAAAGTTTATAATATAAAAATAAAAAAATGTAGTTACTAAGGGTTTCCTTTCGTTCGCATGTAATTCGGTTGCGTTTGCTTATTTATTTTATTTTTCCTACTTTTTTTGAGTGGCTTATTTTTCTGCTCACATCAAGCTTTTAAGTAATAGTACTATTAATGGTTTACTTTAACTTTTTAGTTTTGTATATTCTTTTATTTTCTTCTTAATTTTATACTTTTACACCATATTAATCATTTTTTGGTTATTTATTATATTAATTAGTATTCAACGCTTATTTCATTTATGAAAGAATAAAAAACATTCAAACTTCTATTCTATACTTCACCTAAATTTTTTCTAAAACTTGAGTTTTCATTGTATTTACTAGTTCTAAGAGTATTTGCATTATTAATTTTTCTGTATACAACTGCAAGTTGCTTATAAAAGTAATAATAATAATATTATATCAGACGGTACATCACTCTTTGGACAGTTCGAAGATCCAATCAGCTCTTTGATCTCCTTTTACGCGGTGGCTCTTGATCCGTCCATCGCTGCGGAGGCCGCCAAAGCCGTTTTAAGTAAATAGTATTCTCATCGAAGAATTAATTAAATACAATATAAATATTTATAAAAAAAATAAATAGAAAGTATTTGTGATAACAATACTTATTATAATAAATATAATAATAATAATATATAGTAGTAACTAAGGAAATAAAGAATAGTAAGTTTTGTTGAAAACTTTATATCATTAAAGATTATTTTTAACAATATAAAATTAGCGAGTATATATTTTATTTGATATATATAAGAAAATATTAATTTACAACTTTGCTACTAATTAAGCTTGTGCTTAATACAATTGTAAATTTTTGCTTATAAAATATTCAAGAAAGAATTGAACGTTTTTTGATACAAACTTAATAGTTCACCTTTTGAAATGGGAAAGCGAAGAGTTGAGCAATGATATTAACAATAATAATAACGATGAAGAACTGGAAAAAAGGCGGGAACTTTCAACTACTTGCTATAAGGCTGCTGTAGAGCAAACTGAGGCTCTTCTCTTTATCCTTTTATATACTTTTTTTTTAATAAGAAATTAAAAGTATGTATTATTTAATATATTTCTCTCTTTTTTGTTTATATTAACCTTTTTACTAAAAGTTATTATATAGTTTATATAAAAGTCAAAAAATATATATTTTTTCTAATAGTTTCTTATGCAAGAAAAAGAGAAGCGCATTAAAGGGATGATTGTCAGAATGATTGTCATGCAAAACCAAAAGTTAGAATTGAAATTAAAACATTTGAGTAAATTAAATATATTCTTCAAAGAAGAACTTAATAAGGTTTACTTTGTTATTATTATTATTATTAAAGAAAGTAGAAAATTCACTATTCTCCTTATAAAGATTGTAAATGTTGTTTCTTTAAAAAGACTTGTAAATAAAGTATAATTTAACTACAGCCTTCAGTTTCCTCGAAATATAATATATTATAGTTTTTACACGTATTTTAATAAAAATAATATAACTTTACTTTTTACTTATTAAAGTTTGTAAACGTTAAAGGGCTTCTTTATGTGTGTCATTATATTTTTCTGAAAAAACTTCTGTAGTATTACTTTAAAATTTCTTTCTCCACTGACTCAGTAATTTAATCATAAAATTTTCCACCCAACTTTTTTATCTTCCTTTAGTTCCCCTTTAATTTTTGTTAAATTAATGAAACATTACTTGATTAAAAAAAGCCCATGAAAGCCATGGCAGTAAAAAATAATTACTTCAAAGAAAATCCAATTTTGAAATTTGGCGAGCAATAATTGCGCACGCTCGACTGCCTGAAGTTCATATATTCAACGGGCATTGCATACTTTAACATAATTAATTTTATAATCTATAAAGCAACTATTTTAGAAAAAGCATAGAATCTGATTGGTAAGTTTGTGTGTCCGCATTCGCCCCGCCAACGCCAGTGCAAGGTGATAGCAAGCGGCATTATTAGCCTTATAGGGAACATTTCATTGACGGTTCTAATCAAGGTCATATCGAAGCCCCAATAACCTTTAAAGTTATGCATCTGGCAGTTCACATATACTGAAAAAAAATCTCTTCTAAGAACTCTGCTTGCTAGTGATTGGCGCATCAAACTTATTTGAATAGAAAACTTTTTTTTTTTGCAAAAATTCTACCGTGTGCGCTGCTGATTAATTTTATTATAAACCATAAAATTATTACTAAAGTTGGTTTACTAAAACCATTAATCTTTACTCGATGTCACAACTGCTTACTAAAAGAGTAATAAACTAGTTATAGTATATTTTTATTTACTATTATTTTAAAATATATTTTTTTAAGTTTTAAAAAAAAATAGAATATTTATAAAAAAAAATTATAAATTTATATTAGTGTAAGTAATTTTAAAAAGTCTAAACTTTTAATTTTGCTGTTAATAGGTAGATAAAATTATTTTATAGAAAAGAATTCGAAAGTAAATTTGGGCAGAAAATTATAAGTTAAAAAAATAATTTAATTTCTCCTTTGTATTTTTGCTTCGAAATTTGTTTTAGCCACTCACTAGACAATTTTTTTTTTATAGGGATTTACTTTTATATATAGTTGGTAAGAAACGTTTAATTATTTTTATACTGTAATATTTAGAATTTTGAGTTTTGAGAATGAACTTATACAAAAGAAATTTTTATTTTGCAAAAAATATTCTTTATTCTCTCGTCTATAGTCAAGTTATACAAAATTTACCAATTTTTAATTTTTGGAGCTTAAAGAAAAATTATTGAACTTTTAAATCATTAATCTAACATTTTCTCATAAAACTCTTTAATTATATATTGGTTGAATTGGAGTTCATTTTTTATTATATAATGAAAGTACAAAAGATTTTTTCTCGTAACATTTTAAAAGCAATTTTCTTCTATAATTAATAACTCCCTAATAACTTTTTTCTCGTTCGACTTTAATAACTTTTATAAGCTTACAGTAATATTTAAATTTCTTTTAGAACATGGTGAATATTTTTAAGATTATTTAGTCGTTAACTTTTATTGTTAAATAAAAATTATACTAAAAATATAAAAGAAAAACAGTTTTTACTTTGTCATAGTGAAATTACTATTTGTAAATGCAGTTTTTATTACTTTAATATCGTAAAATTTAGATTTATCTATTTTATAAATCTGTATAACTTATTAATATATTATTATAGTAACAATAGAAATTTTTAAATTTATATAATTTTTTAGCTCACTATTTTTTTCTATTTACATTTTTTCTATATTATCTGAACGTTTAGATGAATATGCTTTGACGTTAAGAACTTTTAATATAAGTTTTTATATTTTCATATGAATTTATTTCATAACAGATTCTTTTGAAGCTGAATGGTGCTGAGCAGAACCTGACTTTGAATCCTTAATAAAGCAATACGCTCTTTTTCATATTAAATGTTTTAATTAATAGTCCTCCGCTAAAGACATGGGTGTTTACAAACTATTACTAGTTGATAATAGTTTTAATAATTATTCCATTGCCTACTTTAAAAAATACTTTAAGGCAACTGAAACTATAATAATAGTTGATTTAATTATGCTTCTAGACCTTTCATTAATGTTTTATCAGAAAAAAGCTTCTAAAAAAATGAGATTATACACTACTGGCAACATCAAAAATAGTTAACCTATTAAAAAGATTTTCCATTTTTTAAGGTTTACGAAAACTTAGTAACATTGCTAATTTAGATTTAAATAAGCTTATAATAACAGAGCGAGTATATGTATCACCCTGAGAAATAATATATGTGCTGTGAATCCATGTTACTTTGCTTACAATATAAGTACCAAGATCGAAGTCTTATACCTCAATTCTTGCATGCGGCGCATTTTGGAACTACAAGCTTCCTTTAAGTCTAGTCAAGTCACGCAACATAATCTAAAATCCTGCAAAACAAAGAAAAAGCAAAATGGTCCCCGAGCATTATTACTTTTATACTGTAATTATTTATGTTTTATTATTAATAATAAAACTTGGTTTAACATGGCGCTTTCTTTGTCAATCGTTTACAGTTTTTGAAGACCGGTCTATAGGCTGCAAGGGTCGTAAAGCTAGAATAGTAATTGTTCTGGTTTTTAGGACTAAAGCTGAAAGAAATTTAAAAATATTAGCATATAAAAGCACATTTGCTTCAACGTTTGTCAGTTGCATAAATTTTTAATTGTTGGGTACGTGCATTTCCAGTTTAATGAGCTCTAATAAAAAGTTACGGATGAATGCAAATTCATTGAAATGTTGGATTTGAAAGTTGCGCAAAGATAGTCTGTAGGAGCTAATTCGATTTTGAATGACAGTTATTAATATGCGCGCGCGCAAGAAAAACGTAGTGCACCCCCTCCAGCAATTATTAATAATTGAGGCGGTATAGTTTAACCATAAACTACGCCAAGCGAACTAATAATTTCTAGTCGAACTATTTACCTTTTAATTAAAACTTAAACAGCACTTTTACTTGTTCCAACTTTTGTTAGAGCAACTAAATATAATCAAATTGACAGTTTACTATGTTGTCTTAGCTTGCGTTTATTTTTAGTTAAGCTTAATTTTTGTCTTTATTACGGAAAGAAAGTTTATTACTAATGCAGATTAAAATTACCACTTTTAACTAAAACTCCGCAAACCGCATATTTTTTACCGCAAAATAAAATTTATTATAAAAATTGATTCAAAATAACAATTTTAAGGATATTATCAAACTGAGCTGAAAAATGCCAACCATAAAAAGAGCAGTATAAATCATTTTTTTAAAGTCTATAAATTCCTTTTTTATCTGTAAAATCTGCTCTTTGACGTCGTGTCGATAAATCTCTTCCTGCAAATGTGGAGGCTCTACAGTTCGGTTCAATGATTCATTATTCCTAAAATCTTTAAAACGAAACAAAAATTCATTAGCAATAAGTTATACTCAAGTAAGAAATAAAATATATATTTTAACCAAAAGAATCTTCGACGGAAGGAGAATCTTTTCTTGCGTCTCCAGCGGCCACTCCGTTACTTGTTTGTGTGTAAATGATACCTCAAAAAAAAAAAATTTACGAGCCGTCATAAAAAGCGACAAAACTTTTACTGGCAACCTTTAAATTCAAATTGAAATTGATCAAAATTATCATCCCAACGCCTTTCACTGCATGAAAACAAAAAGATTTAATATAAAATATAAAGTTGAGCCAACAAAGGCAATCTCTGAGATAGTAAAAATATATAGTAACAGCTTACTGTGTAGTTTCTTAGTAAAATACAGATAAAAACATATTTAAACATTTTAATAGTATTTAAACAAAGCATAAAAAATTATACTTTATATAGTTATATATATAAATTCCGTCTCGAAAAGTGAAATAAAGAGGGCCAATAGAAGCGTCCTGAGAAGCCTTTACAGAAGCGATGGTTTCGGAGGCTTTAGAAAAGTTGGACTCTTGCAGATACTGAAAAACTTCTTTCCAAACTCTATGTTGTTATTTCTAATTTTTATTTTAATACACAAAAATTATAAACAAAAAATCACTATAAAAAATAACTTTAGTTTCAATTAATATTTTTGCAAAATGCTTTACAAGAAAAATTCAAACCAAAAAATCTTCTTTCATTTGTTATTTAAGTATTTTTTGATATGAAGCTGTTCAAAAGAAATGAAGACATAAAACTATCATTTTTTATTTCCTTTATTTATTTTAAACTTTAAAATTTTTATTTTTTATTACTTAAAAATTTAACTTAATTACGAATATATAATTAATAAAGAAAAGTGTACAACAACTCCACAGTTTTATCATTTTTAAAAAAAAATTTCCAAAACGTACAAAGAAAGAATTTCGGTAACAATAGCATTTGCACGTGGTTACAAAGACGAGGACAAGATATTATACGAATTAGAAAAAAAATTAGTATTACTAGGCAAATGCAGTTTCTGAAATACCTTTACAGCGTTGATAAAGGTTATTAGTTATAAAAAACTATAAATATAAAACAAACAGCATGTACGTATAATAGTTGAGTACTTTGATAAATAAAGATAATATTTATTATATGAAAGGCTACAAAAATAAAGTTATGATATAATTTCAAACTTTTCATCATAAATATAAATTATTTACTACTTATCAAACTAGAGTCATTAGAAAACGCTAAAAGTACATCATGATTATAAATTATTTACTACTTATTAAACAAGTCATTAGAAAACACTAAAAATGTGGTAAAAAGTTAGTAAAAAATATAAACATTAAGCACTATTTATACCATAAAACTTTACAAAACGCTATTAGAATATAACAAGTTTTTAACATGAAAGAAAGATTCAAACTTCTCTGAATCGTTAGTGGCAAGAAAGCTATCAGAAACATAAAGCCTTGTTAACGCTTTCTGAGGAGTTTCACTATCGACACTCCAGAGCACTTTTCTACACTGTAACATTATAATGTTAGTTGTTTGCTTTGATACTCCCTACTATACTGGAAAACTTATAAAAACCTTCACAATCAACCAAAAGAACAATAAATAATATACCTTATTATTTTTAGTACGTTTACAAAGTGCGACTACTAAGATACTACATTATTTTTATAAAATAAAATAACAATAAATATACTCCTTTAAATATAAAAGAAATTTTTATATAACATAAAAAAAGATACTATTAAAAAATTATTAATATTAATTTGTACATAAAAAAATAAAATTGAGCAAAAGTTAAAAAAGAAATAAATTATCAATTTTTATAAAGAACAAAAATCAGGAAACATTTTGGTATATTAAATAATGATAATATAGAAATGAATCGAAAAAGAAGTGCAATTAATATATTATTTTTAGAAAATATCCTAAACTTGAAAATATAAAAAGAAGGTATATAATAAAGTAATAAAAAAGGTAAACAGTGAAAAGCAAACAAAAACATAAAATAAAACTTTATATAAAAAAATTTGAGGAATATTAAAAATATAACAATAAACAAAAGGCTTTAATTATGCTTAGTATTATTATATATTAATAGTGCGTCTTACTTTGTTGTTCTGGTCTATTATATCCACTTGTTTATCCCAAACACCTGATAATATATATAAGAAATAATAATAAAGCGTGAAGTGCAATTAAAATATACTTATACATATTATATATATAAAACGAAATAATAATAAAAATAATAAAAACATAAGGAAAAAACAATATCGTAATAATAAAGATGAACCAAGATTATATTATGCAACGATACAAACGTATATATAACACTATTGGTTATTATTTACAAGCAATCATTAAAAACGAGGTAAAACGATATGTCTTACATAATAATTAATTGTATTAAGTCAACAATATAGTGATAAGGGGAAGTACCTTGTATTACGTAAAGAGTGTCTCCCCTATCCGACTTGAGTTTCCCGACAACAGAATTGTATTCGCTTGTTGTCTCCGTAGACTTTTATCATTAAATAAATGCAGCATAAAATGGCGATATTTAGAAAGTAAATAAAACAATTGCAATTTTTTTAGTAGTCAATAAAGTTATCATAGCTTAATAATTAAATTTATCATTAGAAAAATTATGAGAAAAACGTAACCAGTAACAAAATTATAGTAAATAAAGTTGCAAAGTAAAATAATATTCTTTGAAAAAAATTAAAATTAAAAATTGATAATCATAAATAAGACATTTTTTTTCAAAAAGTGAATACACCACAGTAAAATCAAAAATTATTTAGTTAGCACGAAATATTACTAACTTTCAGCATACATAAAAACCTTGTAATAAAGAAAATATTATTTACTACAATTCATAAATAAATAAGAAATAAAATTATTATAAAATTTTTTTAATGAAATAATATTAAGATGACAGTTTAAAAATATAAAATTGAGGATATTAAAGTAATAAAAGTTATATATAATGAAATTTATAGATATTTATAAACTATCAATACTTCGCATATAATGGAAAGAATAAAAAAATTTACTTTCAGCTTAAAATCCAGTTCCACGTGGTACCCGTTATTTTTGCACGTGATCCCACAGAGACCCACTAATTCTTGCGTGTAATGACCCCGTAATAGCCCCTTCATAATAAAAATAATCCTTTATTTACCATTTTTCTGTAATAATTCAGAAACCCAGTAAAAGAATTATGTAATTCTAATGAACTTCTTTAATATAGCTACAATCGGCTTTTATAAAATGTAAAAAAATATGTTCTAACCCTTGATAATTTATTTTTTAGTCAGCTTATGTCCTACTTAAAAAAAGATAGGTTGATTAGAAAATAATTGTAATTGTTATATGCTTTCTTTAATACAAATTTATTAATCTTTACTCAACTTTAATGCACATATCCGGAAAAGTAATGACGTAATCTTCATTAAATCGCACGAACCGGACGTTGAGTTGTCCAGCAAGTTCAAGAGTAATAAAGTTGCCTACAAAAATTATTAGTGAGTTAAAAAATAAGATTTGAAAGTATATATTAAAAAAAAGAAAATATATCTTCAAGTTGCTTAGTTATAAAAACCTGAAAAGGGGGCTCTACCAGTTAAATTGCCATTTACAAAAAAGCCGTGCTTCCTATTGGACAAAAACCATGCGCTCGTAGATGGCGATGATGAAAGCTTTTATCAATTTTTTATTACAAAATATAAAAAAGATCAAAGGTATATAACAATGAAACTTTTATCATACTGCACTAAAAATGCAATGTAAATTATCTCGATCTGACTTTCATATAAAAAAGTTTTTTTATTATATAGAAAAAAAGTTATATTGACTATTTCCAGAGAAAATAATAATAAAAACTTTATATAACTAAATTATTAATATTAGAAACTTTAATTATCCTTAATATATAATAAACAAAAGTAAAAAGTAAATCAATAAACCTGTTCAGCAACGAAATGGGTTTTTGTCTGGTCAGGATGGCTGAAGACGCAGCGGTACAGCTCTCCCGTAATCGGTATCAACGGGGAGGCAACGCCGTCTAGTATGAAAACAATTATACAAAAGAAATATATGATATATATATATATATATATAATTTGATAAAAAGTGAACTACTATATGCTATCACAATATCAAAATATGTTAATATAAAAAAGCTCTTACCTGTAAAAATAAAAAAGAATCAAGGCAACTTATAATTAAAAATTCTACAATAAATAAAACGGTACCAATAACTTTTTATATAAAGGTAAAAAAAAATAATAATAAAAAGAAAACAAAAATAGATGATAATTAGTATATATGAAATATAAAAAAACATTTTGACTTAAAGTAAAGCCCCGAGAAAAACCAGCTTGTAACTTTTATCACGCGTTGTAACGAGTCAACATCTTGAGCAGCGCTTATTAAAATAAAGTAAATAATCCAATAAGAATAGACATAAAAATTCAAAGAAAAATTACAGGCTAAGAATATCAACGTGATAATAAAAGTCGCTAATGCGTTCCAACAAAGAGCGAGGCTCATAAATGAAAGATGGCAAACGGTCAATGCTAATAAAGTCTCCGGGAGAAAGCTGAGATATAATAATAATAATAATAGTAATAGTAATAATAATAATAACAATAAACTACTTCTCTTAGACAATCCCATATTTCTTTTCTTTTCTGATCGTCCAACGTATCTATAAAAAATTATTGTAAATCTCATTTTTAGAGAAACATAAGCAGACAATATAAATAAAGTTAGTAATTCCTTATAAAAGTATATATCAATGTGTAGATATTAACCAGTAATACACCCAGGATCGGTAATCGAAAGGTTCCTTGGCTAAACATAATAATAACAAATAATAAATATTTATCTATTTTAAAAAAAATATTAATAGTGGTTTAAAAATCAACTAGTGACAAATAGTTACCTTATTTACACTATACAAAAATAAGAATAACAAAAAATACAAATTTGTATTTACTCGAGCAGAAATAAAAAATGGTGATGATAACAGAAAAACATAGAAAAACAGTTCAAGAAAAACAAAATAATATAAAGTATAGCATCGAGGTGAGATAAAAATCTTTTCAGCTACTAAAAATTTAAAACCACAAGAGTGCACGTGACATGAACTCTCCGCAAAGCTAACAGACATGCGAGATATCATAAAGTATTAATTTCAATAATAGTTATGAATATAAGGTAATGTTTATAAAAAAAAATGACTACGTTATTTAAATAACAGCTTCATGGATATTATACGTCACAATGAAAATATAGCTTCTAAAAAATATGATAAAATAAGATAGCGTCTCTTTTAAAAAAAAAACATTGAACACTGAAAAACAAGAATATATCATTTCATCGCATTATTACTGAGAAGTTATCAAAAAACCTCCAATAAAAGTGTAAAGTGCAATCGCTTTCTATACAAACTTTTAATAAACCAATTGAAATAAAGGGGGTATAATTTGGTAGTAGAAATTGTACTTCATCTTTTTCAATATACAAAGTCATCAAAACTTCATTATCAGAATCGGACAGCTCCACGGATATTTCATTTTCAGAGTCTTCGGTAAGAATACACTCTAAAAAAAGGGTTAGCCAATATTGTTATTCCTTTACTTGATCATTCTTACAAATACTATTATTGATATTTTTATTTATGGGTTAAAATGTGTTAAATTATTTGCTTTTCTGTCGCTGTAAGGATTAGTAAAATTCTCATGATATTAAGGCGTGGTTTCATATAATAAAAAACTTAAAAAAAGAAAACAAAAGCGTGGCTTGTAGTAAAAAGTGTCCCCAAAGACAGTAGCTTGAATGCGTTTCATGTCTTTAATGATGCAAGCAACGAGGGTTACTACCCGGCTACTGGTTTATGATAGCAAATTCGGATTAGGTGTTTACCAGTAATATTTTCATGGCTGCCGAAGTCTACAGAAACTGCTCCTTCGCAAACTTTTTTAATGGCTTTGATCCATAATTGTCCTTCAGTAGCCTAAACGTTTTAAAAAAAAGCAGACTTTATAGTTTATTGCTAGCAGTAACATAGATCATGGAAATAAAACATAAATATAAACCGTAACCATATTAATCAAGGCTAGCTTATATGTAAGGGTGGAAAGCACTAAAACTCATAACTGAGTTAGTTATATAAAACTTGTAAGTAAAAAACAACTACATGGTAACAGCAAAAAAAAGTACACAACAAATAAGTAGTTGTCAAACTAAGTGCTTTTACATGTGTCTAGTGACTTTTAAAAAAGAAGAAAGGTATTTAATAAGTGTAGACTGGTAAATATGATTAAATATTTATAGACTTATAAACATAAATTTAATATAAAGTTTCTTATATCAATAAAGAATTCGTGCTAATGCGTAGCTACTTTGAAACGAGAGTTAAAAAATAAATAGAAGCGCACTTTCTTGTAATCAAAAAAATATTAAGAAAATGTATAGTGAAGTCTAAAATAAGCAAAACACTGTTGCTAAAAACAGAGCAGTTCCTTTTTAATTGTGCCCCGTCTCGCTCGTAGTATAAAATCTCAAAACTAATATTTATTAGCGGAAAGAGAAAGAGCATATATCCATTAACATATTCATCACGGCTAACGCTACTAATTTGTCGTAAAGCTCCAGATAAAAACCACCTTCTTATACTTTTCATAAACATAGAACTTATGCCTCCTATAATATACTAACCTTATTATATATCACTTGTTATAAATAAATAAAGAAAGAAATGTGTATAGATAATTAACTATCTTTTCAAAATATAAAGAAATTAAACAAGGATTCATGATATATAATAAATATAAGAGAAACATATACATTTAGAGCCCGTATAACAAGGTAGTCATCATTAATGGGAAGAGAATTCTGCACGCGCTTCGTGGCATATATAGACTTCCCTTTAGTTGAAGCCACAGTCAGAAAATAATTGTGTATAAAACAGTTATAAACCAATTTTTAGGAGTTAAAAATTTAAAAAGCTAATATTTAAATGAATAAACTATTTTTTTACAAAGTCTATAATATTTACAATATTAATTCGTTTACTAGTCTTTAAATTGTGTAAATTATTATTCTCAAGTACTTCAATAATAACTGATACATAAAGTGCTTATTATATTAAAATTTTAATTAATACAGGTTAGAAAAAATATTATTGGATGCTCTTCTTATATGTGTCTTACAATTTCACTTCTATTCATTGTTTATACTTTACACTCGAATGTTATAAATTCTATAAAAGATAAACAGTAAGTGTTTACCTTGCGGATGATAAATTTTAAAACAAAATCCATCTTTTTTGGATCTTCGCATAACAACTTCACAGCCTTTTGGTAAAATTTATAAAGAAAAATAATTTTTTTTTTATAAAAAATAGCTTAATGAAAGCAAAAAATCATGCTCTTAAAGTTTTTTTCAAGATTCACCAGCTGTATAAGTTTTTAAATAATTATTTGAAAACTTCAGATGATTTATATATAGACAATAATAATAACAGATTAACAGAAATATATTCACGACGAATAAAATTATTTATGAAAACTTATTATTATGAGAATATGTCTATTTACTTGTAAGCATATCAAATACTAATTAATTTTTGTTTATTTATAATTCATCCCAAAAAAATCATAGTATTCTCTTACCTTTTAGTAGAACTGAACCGACCCATTGTTCCTGTAGGATAGTAGTATTTATTCAATAATACAAACTAAAAAGAATAAACTAAACTTTAAAGAAAAAAGAATTCTTACTAAAAAAGTTTAATAGTGAAAGAAATATTAAAAAAACGAAAACTAATAAAAATCGCTAAAAAGGATAAATACATCAATAAAATATAATTGTTTAGTATGTCTTATAATGTAAAGAAGAATTAGAAGCTTTTAAACTCTTTCGAGGCTATTATTAATTAAGAAGTTACTACCGAATTTGCTTTTTTACGAAAGTAGTTTAGCGTCGACGGCTGCAATACAAAATAGCGGTCGTGCCATTTCTTAAAAAAGTCTCGAATTTTTTAGAGTACCGCTTAATATGGCGCCTGTTATTTTAAAAATATTTTTTAGTTTTTTCTTGAGTTAAAAAGTGGTATTATTTTTAATTTTATAAAAAATGTCGAGCTATATCCTTTTCTTAAAAAAATTATTAATAATATATTTTGGCTAATGAAACGTGTCCCAATAAGTACTGTTTGTGTAATTCCCATTTTGCAAAGACCAGATAATACTTACAAATTAAATGCATATAAATAAATAAAGTAAGCGTAATATACTTCTATAGTTAAAAGTTAGGGTGTTGTATAATATATAACTTATCTCAAATAGTAAAAGTATAACAATAAAAAACACTTGTTCCTTAAATAGATAATTTATTTACCTTGACAGCAACTATACAATAAATATTTTAAGCGTTATTAAAGTAACGTGCAAAAACATATAAAAAAGTTTCCAAGTAGCCCAAGAAATAGAATTCGTATAAAAAAAATTATGATAAACTTTAAAAGAATTACCTTCACCCACACGTGTTGGTACGTAAACGTATTTTTCATGTACAGAAGATTTGCCCTGTTTTTACCGTAGTTCAAGATTACAATTATTCAATAAATATATAGGCACAGTCAACAAATAAGTAAAAATAGAACTATTCCCAACAACGAAAATTAAAAAGGGCAAATAAAGAAAAAAATTAAAAATTAAAAAAAAATCGAATTTACTGTGCGTGTATGAAATCTTTTCATAAAGTAACCAAAATTAACCTCCGTACTTCTAATATATAAATACTTTTTGGTAAGATTAGTGGACATTAATTTAAAAAAAGCGTCTGACACATTTTAAATTTTTTAATAAGTTTTTATTATTTTTTTACGGTGTTAACTCGTTAATTACGGGAAATAATTACAAAGTTCTTACCTTTAATCTTTTATAGCTACAAAATGTTTCTTCATAATCTTTGATATAAAAAAATACAAAAAGACTTACTCTTAACAAAGTGCAAGCAATCAAGAATGCACACTCGACCTTCTTTTTCGGTCTAAAGCGGGTAGAACTAATTTCTTCCCTCCGCTGGATGACCGCAACTTGGAGGTTTAAATCTATTTTGTAATTAAATAGTTTTGTTTTTATTAAAATGTGATGCAAGGAAGGCTGTAAAATTAATGTAAATTGTCAATATTTATATCTTTAAAAATGGTGTCTATTTTTTAAAATATATTTTTATTAATTTGCTTTAAGTTTTCCACGTATAGCGTTGGTATAGTTAGATGTGAGTTTTTATAAATTTAGAAAAAACCAGACTAAGCTTATTTATATGGTTTATAAGGTTAGTAGTATAATAGCGTAAAACGCGCCTAGGGGAGTGGCGCGGAAATATATATAGTACTAGTACATAACACTATTTAGTACCTGCTGCTATTAAACAACACTAAAGCGTCGCTCTAGTAACAAGTACATATACAGATGCAATAGTACAAGTTTAATTACATATGCAGCCTCGTAACAAGGCACTAGTATTATTTAAACACCACTCATCCTGCAGTTCTTGCTCCATAGGTTGTTTGTCTTAGCTATTTTCCTTCAAAGAAGTAGTGTACTGCACGACTTAGCTGTTTTCATTAACTGTTTATATATTCCAAGCTCTTTCTAAGCAAATTAGATTTAAAACCGCTTCGAGAGACAGTGCTTTACTCACTTTCGTTATCCGGGTGTTTGCGTGAAGCTAGTAAATAAATTTTTTTGCTTCTTTTATACTTCCACATCATTAAATTGTTGGATATTAGCGTTTGAGGTGTCTTTAAAGTTTGAGCTTGGGCCCAGCGCTAATATAAACGCGCGACCACACTCGACTCGCTTAACCTACTAAAATATCTGTCAATATATTAAATTTTACTTTGACTGGTTATAAGTATAGCATTATTTTTATTATTAAAACTAAAACAAAGTATTAGCACACGGGGTAAACAGAGGTGCAACAATGCTAGTGCTTTTTTAACACCGCAGCTTCGCTAACTTATATCTTTAAAAAGTGTAATTGCGATAAGTATTAAAGATCTTACTCAAGGCCATGGATTCGTTTACCGACCACGACCCTCTTTCTCGGTATAGGTTGGCCGCATATTTAACCTTTGACCCCTAAACTTTGATTTCCCTGTACGCAAAGTTGGTGAAGTTGGGGTCATGTTTATACAATTTTTTTGTTTGGTTCTTGAGCTTGTAGAACAGATGAATAATATATTGGATTTTTTATTGTTTTTTTTAACGAGGTAGTTAATGTTTGTCATGTCTACGTTAATGTCCGTTTCTCATATAACTATACTTTTAAAAAAACACTAAGAAATATAATTTTCTAATCTTATTATATGGGGGGGGGGGGAAATAAACTTTACGCAAAATCGTAATTATATACCGGATATCCTTCGAGGATCCTTGGACAACCATATCTATAGAAAGGCTGATGCCCCACCTTTAATTTAGCTTGGCTTTATTAAGCCGACATGAGGTCCGCAGTAGTTATTCCCACGAGCCAGCGCGAAGTATATAGTGTTGCACCTAAATATAGCATGGTTTTGGAAGTAAAAGTAGAGAGCATAATCATTAGTTCGCCAAATGACCATTTTCCCCCTCGAGGACTAGAATCAAGGCCACAGAATGTAGCGTAACTCTGCACCAACTATGGCCTCTTTAATCCTCAGATACCTTCTAAGGTCTATATACATAAAAACACTCTTTCGCTATCTAGCTTTAATATGTTTTTAAAATTTACTCTTTATATTTTTTATTGTACATTTTTGATGCTTTAGTTCCGTAGTTCTTAGTTGGACAACCTTATTTAATTATGTTTTTTTAGCATGCAACGTTGGAATGCAAGTTCTTCGAACCTACAACAGACCTTCAGTAGTCCTATACTACACGAAAAGGTACAAATTGTATATTTCCGGTACCACTATGGCCTGATCATACGAGATTCTGGTGTTGGAGACTTCACGTCGCTGGTCTTTCATCTCAAAAATGTTGATATACTAGTTTATGCTGCCTGCCCATTGAATTAACTGCCTTGCTTGTTAGATCCGGCAGATCCTTTGACTTTGTGTGGATTCATAGGCTGAGTAGCTTGTATTACGATAACTTAACAAAGGCAATTAGTCTTGAACGAAAGCTAGGTTTATTCTCTGGTCCTGTCTTGAGGGGCATAGTAATTAAAGCTATTAGCACCGATTTAAAATGCTGTCTCTCTAGCTTTAAACTAGTTGAGATATAGTGTTGTATGCTAATATTGTGGTAGAGTCGGAAAGCTCTCTATATAAAAGGGTGCCTTTTAGCTAAGGAAACTTGGCTGAACTGTAGTGTGCTCTATATATATGGGGGCTCTGGTAGTACTGGGAAAGGGCAGTAGTATAATAGTGTTTCCTATAATACACTCTATTAGATCTAGCCCTTAGAAGAACCAGGAGCAGATAGAAATTGACAATTGACGGATGTCAAAATTTTGGTTATCGAGCATCAAGTGAATTCTTCAACGTTTTCTCGATAGCTAGATGTCCATTATTATTTAACTGTAATTAAAAATTAAAAATTATATAAAAAAAAAGGTTAACTAATAGAAATTGTTCTTAAAATATAAAGTTTTTAATTTTTGTTATATGTCGAATTTACAAGATTAATGTTTCCGAGAACTATGTATTAGATAATAAAAAAAATAATAGGGATAAATGTCAATACAAAAAACCAAAAGTTTATTTGATTTTTTTAAAGCTGCCTGAGGAGCACAACCCACACACCTAAAATAAACACGATAAGAAGATAAAAAAGTGTGTGCACTTCACGCCACTGATAACACCAATTAGTACTGTGCCCTCATGCGCTCAACCCTAACGTTACATACAAATATCAATTTGTCATTAAGCTATCTCTTACTTTGCCTACGTGAATTCTACGTTTTTAGCAGTCGCCGATGGGCATTGGGATGGTTGGTAACCCTCTATAATACTTGTGGTCCTTTAGCTTGAGCTGGACCCTTAAATTTGAGTTATCTCTACCTATCTTTCTCTTTAAAAGACATTAGAAACCAGGTATATGAAGTTTGTCCCTTTCAGCCCCATGGGAGGTAACTGGCAAATTATATTTCGCAGCATAGTTTCACCTACTTTGGCAGTACAAGGAGCAAGAGCAGGTAGTACGATAGAGGTACGTTACCCGATCCGTTTAAGATCCAACGACGGCCATAGTTCAGAACGGGCACGTAGAGTAAGTACGAGCGAACAAGCTCATATTTCTTATACATGCCTTCTACAGGCTTGATTATTAAATTTTACCCTCCTAAAAGCATAAATAGTGCTATTACTCAGTAAAACAAGGCACCACTAAGGTGTCGACTAGGGTTGAACTAGCCTCTCCCGATAAGGAGGTTTGAGGGGTTACTACAAACCTACTAGGTAGCTAGATGGTAGTATAGCAGAGCACTCTAGTTTGTTAACCCGTGTGTAACTAACTGGAGTGCTGTAGCATTATGCTAAATTTGTATCGTAGTGATAGGCTCCCACCTGGTACTATGATGTTTGTAATTAAACTGTTAAACTCCCTTTTGGAGAAAGTAGTAATGACTCTTACAATTCCTGAGAGTCTTCACAAAGTTTTTTTCGGACTAAATGTATGGATTGATTATAATGACAGCAGCTCGGTGAAGACTAACTCAAAAGTATGCTCTAGTTTGGAGAATTATTGAGTAAGTAAAATTTTGAAAGCTTAAATTGCTGACTTTTATGTAACCTAGGGATGTTTTTGCTTAACCGGGTATATGCTGTAATACTCCTTATTACCTGCCCTTTCAATGATAGCAAAACTACTTTATTAATCAGGTTTGCATGATTTATTTTATGTGTGTGTGGTCGGAAGCAAGTTATAAGTGTTGTGTGGTGTATGATTTACATAATCTAAATTCCCTGACATATACTAATTGCTGCCATTTAAACTTAGTAAGTTTATCGTCTTACGTTTAAGTCGAAAACGTTCATTTAGGCGCTGTTGCGAATTAAGGGCAATGTATAGCGCATTTCAATTATGTATTACATCATTGTCTTACATAACGTTTTCATTCCTTCCCTCTATTTTTAAGTTATTATCATAAATTTGAAAAATTAGGAAAGTTAACTCGTCCAACAATAAGCAGAAATTGCTAAGTTTAAGCGTTAAGCGAAAACATCCCTTGAGAAATTGTAATTTTACTTCACATAAGACGTATAGTAAAAAAATATACAAAAAAACTCACTGGTCGAGATCTGAAAGCTTGTTAACTAGTAGTATTCGACAAAACGGTATAAATAGAGTATACCCTCCCTGGTGATGAAATAACCCTTAATTGTGCACGACTTAACTGATTCCTTTACTGTTTTTCAAGTCTCATTGATGCAATTCTCATTTAGCTTCGCTTACAAAGTCACTCATGTTCCGTACCTTCACTTATTTTTGCTCACGGTTATTCATAAAGCCACCTTAGAGAGCTTATTTTTCTACTGTGCTAGTTAACTTTTTTATGGCATCTAACTAACTTAGCATATATCTCTTATACGGTGCTTATTTACTTTAATAGCTTCTCTAATTTCTTGTTGGTGTCTATGCTGAAGTGGGTTATATTAGAGTTAATACCTTTAATCAATTTTTATTTTTTCGAGATCTGAAATTAATCTTCATAAATACCTTAGAATGGTCTTATAAATATAGGTAGCTATATATAACTTTAAAATTATTATTTTCTTTTGTACAGCCCTATTTTTTAATTTTGCTTAGTGAACCATGCCCATTTTCATGATATATTACTTTCATTTATAAATAAGTACTTTTTCTATTGCATTCACAATTTTCTAAATATTTTACTGGTTAATAAAAAAAAAACTTTGAAAAGTCGATAACATCAGTGTTTATAATTAAATTAAGCTATCTCCACAAACTTGGTTATTAAAAATTCTTTATTTATTAGTCGTCCACTATTAATTATTAACTAATATGGTTTAGATACGTTACTTTGCCTAATTCATATAATAACTAAGCCTTCTTAGATATATTGAA